CAGGCAGATCAGCTTCTTAAGAGGTTGTATGTTCTAATACACTGCTCAAGGTTTTTATTATATTACGTAAGATCTGGCTGTGAGATTCTTCATGTTTTGGCATCCTTCTGCATCGGGAAGGCTCTAGTAGGTAATGTCTTTTGGCCCTTCCTCCCATCAGGTAGGAAGCTAAAGAAGCTAAAGTTAGTGCAATATAAATTGTATTTATCTTCAAAAGACAAGCATCACATTGACCAATTTAAATCTGTGTTTTCAAATCAGTGCACATGTGTTAGGCTCATTACCTATATATATGGATATATATGGTGCAACATCTTTGAGGGAAGAGAATCAGAGCTGGCAAAAAAAGAGAATGCTGCTAACTTTGAGAAACGAAGTCCAGAGTTGTATCTCCATAAACCATGGTCAAGAGGTCTGAACAATAAAGAATAAAACAAGATAAGAGACTAAATGTCAATTGTTTCTCCTAATTACAAAAAATGTAGCAAAACATTACGTATGACAGAAAATGTCTGCTACTTGATTTCTTGTCTTTCAGAATGTTTTAGTGATGTCTTGTGCGTGTCAGACTTAAAAAAATTGCTCCTAATGTAGTGAATAGCTATTTATCTTTAATTATTTTTCCATAAAGCATTTGGCAGAATTTCTTTCATGTCTTGATATGTCTTAGTAGAACTCTTTATTGGCAAACATAACATTAATTATGGAGTGGACAAAGATTAACAACTAATACAAAAATTAGTTTATTTTTTCTTTTGGTGAATTTTCTAATTTTTCTGATAGCTTTTAGTAATAAATGCTCGTCTGAAGCAGTGCAAGATATTTTAGAATTGTCTTTGACATTAATATTTCATCATTTTCTTCAATCTTACATGATACTTCTTTGGCACTTACATTCACCAAAATGTTATTTGTACTTACCAGTTTTTTATTTATTTCCATGCCCATGGAATATAATGTTCTTTGTGCACAGTGTTCATATCCATGAAAAATCAAGGACTGTAAAAATTGTCTGAAATTTCATTGCCCTTTTTAGATTCAGATACTTAAAGAATGGGAGAAGGTTTAAACATTTCCACAAATATACTTAAGAGAAATACATAGATGCATTAATATTTACAGCAAATAAAAGTTCCTGTAAGACAGAATTGTATCAAAGAGGCTTCGATGGGTATTCATTACATTGTGTCAGAGAAAAATCTTATGTGTAATCTGTGTGATTTTTATTAAATAGACTTGTGACATATGTGTGCAGACTAACTCAAATATCTGTAATATCATAGAATCAAATGAATCACAGAATCACAAGGTTGGAAACGACCTACAAGATCATCCAGTCCAACCGTCTCCTCATCACCATTGCCACCACAAGCACTAAACCACATCACGCAGCTCCTCGTCCAGACGCCCCTCTTGAACACTGCCAGGGACAGCAATTCCACCACCTCCCTGGGCAGCCATTCCAGTGCCTGACCACTGTCTGAGAGACAAAGTTCTTCCTCATGTCCAACCTAAACCTCCTCTGGTACAACTTGCGGCCATTACCCCGTGTCCTGCTCGTTGCCTGGGAGAAGAGGCCAAATCCCTCTTCCCCACAGCCTCCCTTCAGGAAGTTGTAGAGTGCAGTGAGGTCTCCCCTGAGCCTCCTCTTCTCCACACTGAACAATCCCAGCTCCCTCAGCCGCTCCTCATAAGATTTGTGCTCCAGACCCCTCACCAGTTTCGTTGCCCTTCTCCGGACACGCTGTAGTGAAGGGCCCAAAATTGAACACAGTACTCGAGGTGCGGCCTCACCAGTGCTGAGTGCAGGGGGATGATCACCTCCCTGCTCCTCTGGCCACGCTATTTCTAATGCGGGATGCCGTTGGCCCTCTTGGCCACCTGAGCACACTGCTGGCTCATGTTCAGCACAGCACCAACCAACACCCCCAGGTCCCTTTCCTCTTCACACTCATCCAGCCACTCATCCCCAAGCCTATAACGCTGCATGGAGTTGCTGTGCCCAAAGTGCAGGACCCAGCGCTTGGCCTTGTTGAACCTCATCCCATTCACCTCAGCCCAGCAGTTCAGCCTGTCTAAATCCCTCTGAAGGGCCGCCCTACCCTCAGGCAGATGGACACCACCTCCCAGCTTGGTGTCCTCTGCAAACTTCCTGAGGGCGCACTCAATGCCTTCATTTAGGTCATCAATAAAGATATTAAACAAGATGGGCCCCAGTACTGACCCCCAAGTGGGGGTCCCTGATACTGAGGTCAGGATGACAGGCCTGTAGTTCCCCAGATCCTCCTTACAGCCCTTCTTGAAGATGGGAGTCACATCAGCAAGCCTCCAATCCTCTGGGACCTCTCCAGATAACCAGGAGTGCTGATAGATGACTGAGAGCAGCTCAGCAATCACCCCCACCAGCTCCCTCAGCACCCAAGGATGCAGCCCATCCAGTCCCATGGTCTTGTGACAGTCCAGATGGAGGAGAAGCTCTCTGACTGTCTCCACTGGAATTGCTGGGGGCATATTCTGAGCAGTGTCCCAGACTTCCAGATCAGGGCGTAAAATGTCCAGAGGATAACTGGTCTGGCTATTAAAGGCAGATGTAAAGAAGGCATTGAGGACCTCAGCCTTCTTGTCTTCAATGGCCACATTCCCTGCTGCATCAAGTATAGGATGAGAATTATCCTCGGTTCTTTTTTTGCCATTGATATATTTATAAAAGGATGTTTTATCTGAAACAGCTTCTGACCTCGGATGCAGCAAACCAAAATATGAGGATTCTAATTGTCATGCATTAGTGACAGTGTGAGTCATATTGTACAAAGTAAAGTTTTGACTTAACATCTGTTTTAGCACATTAGAAAACGTAGATTCTATATAAAAAATGATTTTTTTAGATATTTGTATACAGTGAACAGGAAAGTAAACCTGTTGGTAAGACAGGGGACGTGCAGGTGTTCCTCCTGCCTTAAAGGAAATCAGGAAGAGAGAAGTTGTTCTGTGACTAACAAATACAGTATTATGCACTAATATTGATCATGTGATTTTACTTTGTATGGTTGACATGCGAGATGTTCCTGATTACCATTTTACAAATATTAATAAACTGTAAATGAAATATCATTCTCTGAATGTACAGAGTGAGCCAAATGTGACACAGTCACTAAAATTGCTTTATGCCATGGAATTGGTTCACCTGTAAAGAAATTGTTGAAATTCTAATTTCATCACACACTTTCTGTTTTTCAAGGATCTTTGTGTTTACAGACTTCACTACAAGCAGAGCTGTTTTTTCTGTTTGTTTCCCATTGTGGAATCCCACCATCAGGTGGAGTGAACAAAGAAACCTTCTCTTTAGCATATTTCAAGTGTCTTTTATTAATGCAAACTTTACAACTGTCGCTTAAGCTTTCTTCTCTAATTGGTAAACTATCTGTATTTAAAATCACTTTCTGGTGTCTATTTCAAGCCTGTTTATGTAGGTTATTAGGATTTTCATCTGATCCCAACATGAAAGTTCAGTTGACTTTTTTCCTACAGGTCATAAGAAAAATACCATTGCTAATTATTAGCAACAATTACAACTGTTCTGCTAGTCTTGCTACTGTTATTGCATTCATTAGTGATAGTGATGATCACTAGCATTGTATTTTATAATGCAGCACAGCTGATAACAGCTCAAACATGCCATTCATTCGTGAAATGGTGTTGAACACGGAGTTTGTGTGACCTGCATGTGGTCATTAGCTAAAGCTGACTAGATGATTCCTGTTAGGTATATTAGTTTCTCATCTAAGAGACCCTTAGGACTGAGTTTGTTCAGTAACTCATTTGTCAGAAGAAATTTCTCCTGGATGTTCCATATGTCCTCTGTCTTTTATCCCTCTCTTCTCTCTGATGACTGCTAGGCTGGGTCATAAACAGAAACAAGCTCTTGTTACGAAAGAAAGTTTTTGCTTTCCAAGTGCTTGACAATTTAGGCATAGGAGAGAATAAGCTAGTGTATTATTGGAAGATTTGAGAAGACACCTTATATAAATACTTTTCTCCAGCTCTTGAAGGAGTTAGTCATTTTTGTCCCTGTCTTCACAATCAAAGACACACGCTTTTAGTTCCTCATTTTCTAGAGTTACAGTTACTTCTGCATGCCAAAATGATCCTCTTCATCATCTGTTTAGTCAGATGTTTGTGCCTTTTTTCTGCTCATCTCCATGCTTTTTAGACTTCTAGATTACTGTCACACTTTGAGATGGAATAAGTAGAGATGTTAAGTGTATTTGCTTGTAGTGCTATTTGTTTATCATTTATTTATGGTCTTTGTTTAAGGGACTGACTTTATTTCTGGGCTGTGAAGTAGTACGCAAGAAGCCAAAAGCCACTGGAAGCTCAGAGCACAGGATTAGTGTATTTTTGTTTTTGACAGAAGAAAAGTTGTAATGATTATCGAGTTGTGAGTAGAGGGATGAGAGGAGTTGATACACTGATTTTGTATGATTCACATAGACCACTAAAGTTGTAGAAGCTTGTGGCATGAACACATCTGTGCCCTCACAGGTGAAGTCTTGTATGATATTTCACTGCATTATTAGGAAAAAGTGAAGGGAAATTACTTTGAATCATTATGCTGGTACTTGGCTCTTGACTCTTCCAAGAATATTTTGCTTTTGTCTTTCAGGATTATCTCTCACACTCATGCAGTGAAGAGATTAGATGTGTGGTAACATGAGCTAACTGGCTTATTCTTCACAGTCAAAGCATTAAATTGTTTATATTCTGCATTCACAATAGCTGTAATAAAAACTTTAAATAATGTATCTTGGTAGACACATTCACTGAGAATCCCTAAATTTATTTAGCCCTGCTAACGGTTGTGCAGTAATCCACTGCATGCTCTGTGGAAGTATTTAAGCTGAATGTCTGAAGTCTGAGCATGGCAGAAGCCATACATCAGTGACTCAATGTGGTGTTTTTAATCAAAGTTGAATTATTTAGCAGTATTTCTTTTTTCGTAGCCTTTCATGTCCCCTCGGTACCCTGGAGGTCCAAGGCCACCTTTAAGAATACCCAACCAGGTAAGAATTTATATCTCCTGCACAGTTGTGATCCAGGTCATGTTGCAGTTCTGGGTGCAGGGAGCTTTGTCCTGAATGCTGTCAATGTGTGGCACACAAAACTGTCTGTCCCTCTCCACTCCATTTTGTCTGACCATTAATAGACACATCATGTCACTGCTGGCTCATCTTTCTTTGTGTAATTACTGTGTATACCTCAAAATGTATTGGGCTCTCAGTCTCTCTGCAGAGGGAGAGCACAGTTGCCTTATAGAGAGAGAGAGAGACATGTTAACCTCAGCCAGGCTGTGCTGCGTGCCCAGGTTGAATGCAGTATATCTCCATGTTCTTTCGTTCTCTGAGTTTTCCTAAACACATTATGCAGGTAGCTCTTAGAATTGCTTTACTTCAATCTACACGCAGTGCATCACTCCTTCCTGTTCTCTGTTGGATGTGTAAAGTATTGCAGTAACAATGAAATGTATTTACTTCGCAGTAAACAGGAGATGATTGGTGAGAAGCAGTTATTGTCAAATGTTCTGTGCCTTTTACAAGCACTCTGAAGACTTTATGAAAGCATCAGATTACTACTTTTTTCTCATCTCCACCGGAGGATATGAGTGCTAGTGTAACAGAACAAGTAATGAGCTGTTGTTCATCAGCAGAGATCTTTATGGGCTGATCTATGAAAAGGTTGTTCTGGATGGAGATAGTATTTCTATTTTCTTAGTGCAGTTAGAAGAGGAGAAAGTGAATGTCAGCAGTTGAAATGTTAAGAGAGAAGGAGACAGAGCTCTAAGAAAAGCCATGTCATTTGCAAGATTTAGAAAGGTTGATGGGCAAGAAAATCATTTTGTGCAACCTAGACTTTCAGGACTGTCTTTGTTATTAGCAGAGCTCAACTTTTCTGTAACTGTGTGTTACAATGTCAACAAACTTTTTTTGACCATTGGCACAATATTGTCATGAAATTCAACACCAAATTTTAGTGAATTGGGGACATTTTGCAAGATTTCTTCAGATCAAATGTTGGTGATCTATAACATAGCTGCTTTTTCACAAGGGAAATGCGTGACATTGCTGATGTGGACATCAAAGGACAATGCAAGTGCAGTGAAATGCATCCAGAGTACTTTGTTAAATGTTAGCAACGGTATATTGTAACGCAGTACAAAATGTGTTCCAGAGTTTTCCACCTTTCAGTAATGTCCCAGGCAGGAGTGCGCCAGTGCACCATTATTCTTTTGTTTCCATGTTTCTGAACTGTGCAAATATGGCAGGTAGAACCTGGGTGTTGTGGTGAATGCTGTGAAATTGCTGCCAAACTACAGCTTTATTTCAGAAGCGTTTTTGTCTGCACACTGCATTTTCACAGGATTGTAAGATAACATTCATGAATTACAGCTGTTGCAATTCATTTACATTATGCTGCGTTCATGAACTACTGCTCTTAGCAGAACTCTCTTTTTTAGGGGACCTTAAAGGTTACCACTGAAAGTAGTGAACTACTTTAAGGCCAACATTTGGGTTACATGGAGATAAATTATCTGATGTTTGTCAGAGTTTACTCTGATGTTAAACCTCCACCACACCTATACCTACATCCCTCAACGTAAAGTTGGTATTTTGTACAGGAAGGTGTGACATGGAGCATGCATTCCCAGCACTTCCAATCCTGGATTGGGGTACATGAGCTGGATGTGGGCTCCATGAGGAGAAGCATTAGTAAATACTGCATGCCACAGCGTACCCCCAGGATTTTTCCAGGTCTCCATCATACCCTTCAAGATCCAGCCCTGCAAGTGTATTTGCTCTTGGCATTGCTCATGCTGTGCTGGCATTTTCTGTGTTGTTGAAGAGTCCTCTGGTGCATTGGCAAGAAATTGTAATGACCACATGAGCCAAGTATCAGTCAAATGTTGCAGGAGCTCATCCTTATTTGTCTGGTATCTTGAGCAGAGATGATCAGTTCCTTCTTTATGGGAGTATTTGATACTTCCCTGTGTATTTCATGTCTTCTTCTTACAACTATCCTTAGGACAATTAAGTAAACACCACGGAAGTAAACGCAAAACTCAGTTTTAAATGATGTACAGAATTTAACAGAAGATGTGTTTATTCTGTAATATTACATTAGAATACCTTTTAACCTGGTGCTAAGAACATAATGTGCATCTTAATTTTGAACTTCCTTCCTTGGAAATAAACTATAAGATATTTACAGATAAATTCCTTTTTGTGTGTACCCACAGTATTTTCAGAACAGCAGTACCTTATCCGTTCCCTCAGTAAGCAGTTACCTGCGCTGACTGAGCAGATTATTTTCTTAGTACAAGAATTGTTCATTCCAGACACAATTTAATGAAAAAGTATCATTGTTTTGGAATTTAAATGACACTTGGTGGATCAGCTGCCATCCTTTCATAAAAAATGTATTCTAGCTGACTAAACTGTAGCTAAGAGATTGTAGAAATTAGACTTGATCTTAAATCAGTAACTGTAAGGGGAACATGAAAATAAAAACACACTTGATTTGGACCACAGGTGAAATAACACTATATTTTGTCTTCAGACATGAAGGCAAGCTATAGGAGCAAGTGTTGTGACTGTTATCTCCTGTAGACGAGTAATAAGCTAGTGGTCCTCAAGGGGGAGGCAGGTAGAAATATCCATCTCCCACATCACAGCCCTGCTTGCCTTACCCTTTGAGTGCTGAAACCAACTGATGTAGTTACAGCTCACTCTTAGAAGAAATCATGGTGTCCACACTGGGTCCTGTTAAAAGAAGATGTTAAAATTACTATTAAAAGGGAAAACTGTAATAACATAAACTTTGGATAAATTACCATGTAACCAAGAAATAGGCAATGATTTGACATTAAAGAATTAAAGAGCTAAAGCAAAGGAAGAATTGGAGAAAAGAAGCAAATTGGATGAGGATCTGTTTTGGAGATTATTCACCATAATTCAAAGAAGTGCAAGAGTTTGTCCATATGGATCCATAGATGCGGTTGTTGCACATTGAGGTCATTTAGTTGGGCATTCAGGACATTCAGTTAAGATGTTTAAGAGTGTTAACTGTAATGCGTTACTCTTGACTCAGAAGAAACATCTAGGAATTAAAAACAAAATATTATCTATTTACCATACATTTCAGTGTATTATGTTCTTGTAATATGATTTCTATGCCTGCAGGCACTTGGAGGTGTCCCAGGAAGTCAGCCATTATTGCCTAGCGGGATGGACCCAACACGGCAGCAAGGTGAATTAAATAAATATATGGATCATGTAATGTAACATTTTCTCAAGATGGCATCCTTTGCTCAATGTTTCAAAGTTTATTGTAGCTTTTCTGTTGTTGTTGTTAATTTAGAAGAAGTCATAGAGTCACAGAATGTATTGGGTTGGAAAAGACTTTTAAGGTCACCTAGTTCCAACCACTCTGCTATATGCAGGAACACCTCCCAGTAGAATGATTAATTAAAGTTGATTTGGAAAGTGTCTGTATTTCACATAGCTTTTTAAGCTCCATAATTTTATTTCCAGGACATCCAAACATGGGTGGACCTATGCAGAGAATGACTCCTCCAAGAGGAATGGTTCCTTTAGGACCACAGGTACGTTCTACAAATAAATACCCATTTTTATTGATAGATCTGTATATATACTTAATTACTTTGATTCCAGTGTTGCATAGTTTGAAGATAGAATGTGCTAGGAGTTGTTCTTACAATACCATTTAAAAATAAATTTTGTCAATTCTAAAAATTAATTCTGATTTGCAGCTTTATAAAATCTAAAATTCAGAAGTCACTCTTCAAAGATTTGAAATTAGAAGGAATTCCTTAAGTCACTTCTTTCAGGAAAGTTAAATTTTTCCTACATCCAGCGTATACTTCAAAAGATAGGATTTGTAAGGAGTCCAAGCCTCAAGGAAGTGTTTCCTCATTCTCTCAACCTATGCCATCAAGGAGTGTAAAGTTCATCTCACAGTACTACTTAGTACTACACTACTACTCAGGCAATCTGTAGCAAAAAGAAGAGTGATAAGATTTTCTTTAACCACTATGGAGATAGATTATTTGTTAGTTTTGAAGACATTTTAATGTAAAATTAGGAGTTCATGCTTCTTTTTCTGCCGCCTATCAATCATAAACAACTCTCCAGCTTTGATCCCAGGGAGGAAAGCAATCTTGGATTGCAAGAGTTCATCTTCTCCAAGGTGCCGATCTGTTCATGATTGTATATTGATGCTTTCTTCATAAGTGCAGAACCAGTATTTGTTGACATTACATTTTAATCAGTAACTAAGATAGACAAATACATGAGTTGTGATGTATATTTGAAAGATTAATCCTAAAGGTTAATTTGTGTTTTGTTAGCATTCTTGGTAAGGGAAAATTTAGGTAGTTGTGTTTTATACCCCGTTGCCAATATTTTCTTCTCATACTTACCATTTTTACTTCTCGATTTAGATAATCTTTCTAGTGGCTTATTTTTTCCTTGGAATATAAACTGAATTTTAAATGATTAAATAACTTTGCCTTTCAAATCTGTTCATAACTGCCTTTACACTTTTGGGTCCTATTGGTAGAAACCAGTTATGTGGTTCTACGCAACATCTGTTGTGTGACCAACTAACTGTTATTAAATAAATTTGTTGTTTCTTGTGTAGCATTGAAGTTTATTTACCACTTGTGTTTAGGAGGTAGAAAGAGAAGCTTTGCAGTGCTGCCAGATGAGATTGAGCTGATACTTTATGCAGCACCATGAGTCACACAGCAGGCAAATCTCATGCCAGTTTTTATAAGGGTGGTTATTTTTTTTCATTTTTGCTGTCTCTTAAAATGCAGCATTTGTAAAATTCTTCTTTTGCTAAACATCCCCTTAAAATGGGGAAAACATGGTATACCTACACAACTTTAAACTTGCAAATAATTTTGTTTTGTAAATGGATCATCTTTGTGTATTGCTCCAAACTGAATTTTGTCTCCCAAACTTGCTTTTAAAGTTCTCTTGCTACAGTGCTGTAAGTTTGGCCTCGGTGTACCCAGAGTGTAAGGCTCTGTTCTACCTTGCTGCACAGGCAGTTAAATCTGGGAAACGCTTCATGTGCTGATATACAAATGCTTATCTCAGCATTTTCTGTTTTATGAGTCTACACTGTTCCAAACTAAATACCATGAAGCTAAAAGCAGTGTTACAAATGCTTGAATCTATGAAAAGCTGCAAAGAATTACATTGAGTTTTTTTCAAGCCTTGGTTATACCAACTGGACAATGTACACAGTGCACACTGTGATAGACTACTTACTCCCAGTCTCTCAAAGTTGCTGGCAAGCTTACAATGTGTCTCTCATGCATTCAAGTAAAAACTAATTAGATTATCTTAAACATTTAAAAGTCTAGGGTCATTTATCTCATTTTGATCACTTGGTGTTAGGGAGTCCTTTTATGAACAATCCAGTACGAGATAAACAGCGGTGGTGGTGACTTTAAGTCAAAACCTGTAAGGAACAAATCAGGGCAGAGAGCATAGCTGCAGCTGAAGGAATGTGTGTATTAGCAGACTTAATGAAAGCGCTCTTATTTTAGGATGAAACAGTACATTTGATTAGAATTAGCAGTAATTAGAGTTGGAAGTACATTTGATTAGAAGTATTCCAGTCCTCAGGATTCCATAATGGTCTTTAACCCTGTCCTACACACTGTTCCTAGGCTAAAATAGAGGTGGGAGATAGCTCAAAAGGAGCAAATGGCTCAGCCCTCCAGATCAAGATGGGAAAATGAAATAAAATAGATATGGAACCATTGTTTTGTTAGCCTGTGTTCTCTTCCACATCCACTAGTACTATCTGATGATATTACTATAAGCATCTGCTTTGACTACTCATCAGTTCCTGCCCTGCAGTTCTGACAGAGGAGTGGTTCAGGCAAAATTATCTGCGGTAACTTAAGTTAAATAAGAGGTTTTGGCTTAATCTGGCTGATTTTTGCCTGAGCATGCACACCAATTGGTCTGTCAGCTGCACACAGGTTTAAGAAATGAGTAGTGATTGATGTCCAGCAGCTGTGGCTAGTACTATCTTCAGATGGCACTGTTGGATCATAGAGTAGATCTGGAGAATGAACTCTTTTTTCAGCCTCTGGATGTATTCTTACAAACCTGTATCATACGCCTTCAGGAGTGTCTAACAGTGAGGAAAATTATACATTTGGGGTTTCTTTTTAGGGCATGGGACCTCTTTTCCCAGTTCCATATCAATTCTAGATATCTAGGTCACTTCAGATGTGAACTGCACTGGATCAATACTTTGAATGCTGTTGGACTTTTCTCATGTATTCATGACATCATGTTTACACACTTTGTGAATTAGGCTGACATGGAGAATACCCATAAGCCTATGTTATGTAGATTTTGTTTTTAGTGTAATATATACCAATTTAAAGCATATTAGTATAATTATTGGAAAAGAGACAACGACCTAGATTTTTTAAAATAAATTGTTTGCTTGTCTCTCTATCTTCTGAAAAGCAGAGACAGTATGTTTAACTCAATACTGGTCATTTTAGAGAATATTATATTTTCCACTCCTTGGCAATATCAGGAAAAAAAGAGTTAAAAAAAAAAAGAAAAATCGACACAGATCACGTGAGTTGTGATGATAGACTGTTCTGCTTGTATTCATCTGAATTAAAATAGGTGCAGTTTAGTTTTTCATATAAAACAGTACAATTGTTAGGCTTCTGTCATATTATCACGGCATAGCTCTGATTTCATAGGCATTAGACAATTCATTTTTTGGCATTACTATGACATTCATTATCATATTAAGTAGTTTTTTTCTTCTCACATTTTGAATTGATTGATTTGAAGAGAAATGAGATGGTTATGCTGTATGTTATTGTGAAGTGATATCATATGGTGTAATTTCTTACCAGAATTTATTGATACCCTAACAAAATGTCACAAAAGAAATTTTATTTAAATTCTATAACTTAGAAATCTCAGAATCTAAGTCTAGGTTTCTAATTTTGAATGAGCTTCCGTGGTTTGAAAGCTGAATATGTTATAAAAGTTGTTCCTCTGGACATTGACTTGACTTCTCTATATGTAAATGATTCCTCTTGTAACAATTTTAAGTATTCTTAGTATATTTCTATTTGAATAGTACATGTAATTCTTTGTCCTTGGGGATAACAATATTATTTTTTTAAGTCAACAATGGAAACTCCTGAAAGAATGAATTACATTGGCCTATCCAGTCAGCAGTTATATAGAGATATCATTAACCTGCTGTCCTTTCTTTCCCCCTCCTCTTTGGTTTTGTTTTTTTGTTTTGTGGTAGTCTGACCCTTGGTTATCATTGCAGAACTATGGAGGTGCAATGAGACCCCCACTGAATGCTTTAGGTGGCCCGGGGATGCCTGGAATGAACATGTAAGCACAATGATAAACCTTATAATGTTTAGAAAAATCATTATTTCGTTGTAGAAGTGACAGTTGGATTACATAAGTTAAGGGAGAACATGCTTTGATAAGTAACGTGCTTTGATGTCTAATATATAAAAACCTGCAGCAGCTTCCTTGTTCTGTATGCATCTTTTTCAGTCTCATTTGCTTTCACTTCAGGTCTGTACAAATAATGAGTTTCTTTCACAGGCCAAAGTAAAAATACCAAAAATATTTTGTCAGTAGAGCCACCAATATGTCCTTGTGTGTATTATAATCTTTTGTGTTTTTACTTTTCTTTTGGTAAAGATTGGTATAAATATGATTATTTTCTGCAAAATGATGCATAATTTTAGCAAAAAAAAAAAACAACCAAAAACCAAAAAACAAAACAAAACAAAAAAACCAACAAACACTCTTCACTTAAAAAAAAACCAAACAACAAACCCACAGCAAAACAACTTTTTGAAATAAGTGCGGATGATTCGCTGTTTCTGCTTTTATTTCCATGGCTACATTTATTTTCACTCCTAACAGATGGAACAGATTTACAGAGATGAGTGCAAGTTTTCCAGTATTTCTATGTTCTTCTGAGGCTGGATTCCTATTTAGTAAAAGTTGATGTCATCTGAGTTCTGTTGAGCTATACTGAATTATTCTAGACATGGAGTTTGTCTTTGGAGTGGATTATTCATTTTTACACTGTAGTCAGCTCCCTTCTTAAGCATGTGGAACAATTTCATGTGTAAAATTACTGTTTCTTAAGCGAACTAGATGTAAACTATGGATTTTAGCAGAGCAGGTGACTCGAAGTGAGGAATCTTCTGCACTTCACGTAAATCTTTGCTTGTATGGAGTTGTTTGAATGATCAGTAAGCCTGAAAAAAGTAAGATGCTCTTTGTTTTATTTAGATTTATTTCATACGAGATACAAAACTTTTAAGAGACTACTATAGTTACTACTAGGAGAATACAGACAAGAAACTGCATGATCATTCTTTTGTCTTGGCTCTGCTTCTACTTAAGTTACTACATGTTCTCATAACAAGAACTTTGCCATCCCTGGTGTAGTTGCAGAAGGCAGCATGGCGGTCAGCGTATCCAGACACAAAAGTGATTTAACAATCCTAATCAGAGAGCAATTTAGTTTGTTCTTCCTTTTACACCTTTGTCTTCCAAGAATGAATTTCCAGCAGATGGACGCTGAGAACACAGTCAGGACATATGTTTGTTACATCTCAGGTTCCTTTTCTTCTTTTTTTGGGGGAGACATAAATGAAAGAAAGACGGCAATTTGCATTAAAAGTGAAAAGTTCCACATTTGAAAAAGAGTTATTGAAATAAATAATATCATTAAGAAAAAGTATTTAATCCCTCTTGCCCCTAATTTCTTCAAATCTCCAGACATACTTTAACTTCTCAAAGCAAATAAAATAAATTCTGAAGTTGGATATTACTCTGTCATATACATGATGTATTAGAGACCGGGCAATTATAGGAGCCTTCCAAGGGTAGGTAATCAATGAAATTCAGTGAGAGTATAAGCACAAGAGAGAGAGATTTTCATGAGAAGAAAATGTAACTTCCTAAAATTAAATGTTCTACAAGTAAAACTGAGGACAGATAAAGCATTTTAACAACACTTACCCACATAAATGAAAGTTCACCTAAGAAAAATAAACAGGATTCTGGATGACAGAAAAAGCTCCTTGTCTGTCCCTTTCTAGGGAGAAGATGGTTATGGGTTGAAATACTGACATTTCCGTATTGCAACATTTCATATTATTTCAACATAAGCAAGCTCATCTTGTGTCAAGTCATATGTAAACATATGTAGGTCATGTTCTTTTAAATCAGAAATGTGAGGAATGCATTTACTTTTGAGTTTGTCTGTCCCACTGAACTGGATACCACAAACTGGAGAACTTTGCTTGATATTCTGAGAAGAGTGCACTGTCAAACAACAGTTATGAAGCACGTAACCATAACTGTCTCTTTGACTTGTCATGCATTTACGACACTCCTCTACATTTCTTACAAGCTCATCTTTCCTCCGGCTCAACTGGAAGTGGGACAGAGCACTTTGGTTTTGAACAAGACAACCTGCTGTCCATTTGCTTATTATAGTGCATGCTGAAGGCATAAGGGAGTCCTGAGTGCTTGTACAGCAGTGTTATGCTCCAGTGTATATTGAAATATGTCACATGCTGAATCGGAGAACTCTGGAATTTCATTAATGCATGTTTTACTCCATAGATATATATTTTTTTTTACTATCAAAGCAATTACACTTTTTGATCAGCAGCTGGATTGACGTACACTGGTATAAGGATCAGAGACATTACTGCGGTGTGGGTTTCTTTTAATGGTATTTCCAAGACTACGTTCATTTGTTACTGTGAAGATGCTGCTGTCAGGTTTGCCATTACCCTGCAGCCACAGTAAAGACTTGTCATGTCCAGTCTAGTTCAGAACCGGATAGAGAATCTGCAGATGACCTGCAGGCAGCAGCACGTGAGTTGAGCTCATCTGTTTTACTTCTTACACATCTCTATTACCTAAGGCACAGCACAAAGGAAGAACAGTGTAAATCATCTCATCTACTTACATTTCTAGGGAAGAGGAGAGCTATAAATAAAACTATTGCCTTATGTTAACTTACATGTGTCTTCACATAGCCATATCGTGCATTAAAATTCTGCACTGTTGTATTCAATGTTTTTTGATTTCTGGCAATGTTAAAATATAAAAGCATGCATTCTACAAAAGCAGATGCCATTTTAAAATCCAGCTTTTTCTCCTGGGAAAGCTTCAAAGGAAAATGCTCTGGCTAAGAGCAGAATATCTGTCAAATATAATTTTACATTTGTATCGATGAGAAAGCGTTCTTTATTGTCAAAAGCAGCAGCAACCAGTCTGAGAGCTCATAGACAGTATTTCGGTTTGTGAGCATATACTCCTTATATGTAGCATTGCTAAATAATTCCTCGCTTCCTCATAGCTAATGCATATTCGATTACTTGAAACAGCTGATACACATCCTATGTCTTTTTCCAAATAATTTTATTTTACCTATAAGGTTTTAGGCTGAAGATCAGTAAAGCCATTTTTAATAATATTTTTGTTTTCCTTTGTGGAAAAAATGCTCTCCTTAGGACCAAAATGGCAAATTTCAGGGAGTATTGTTACATTTTTCTGGCACTTTTTAATGGTTGGTGTGACCTGCAGTTCTGTTCAAGTGCTAAGAATATCTCAGTCATGCCTGAAAAGAAAAAAATATGTATTTTTTAACTCAGTTCCCAAACTTGTATTTAGAGATTTAATTCTTGATGGAACGTATTTTCCTGTTAGGAAACTGAAATATGAAACCTTATGATCAAAAGTGCAAGATTAACCTTAAGAATAGATTGCAGCTGAAATCAGTGACAGGAGCGGATACCTCGTAAATTACTCTTATTTTGGAAGTGGAACATTCATAATTATCTAACTTTAAAAGTAAACATTTTGAAAAGAGAAAAAAAAAAAAAAACTTGCATAGTTTCAGGAAAAAAAAAAATCCAGGTAGCCTTTTTATGTGTTTTATAAGCTAACAGCATTATGCTCTGTGTAAACCATATGGCTTTCAAGCAGAATCTGTTACAGCGTTTTCTAAGTCTACACATAGAGCTGTCCATGACTTCCAGTAAATTTGCAAATTCCAACAGCTTTATAGATGAAAGGTGAGTTTCGTCTCTGGAAGCAGCAGCAGTGCAGCCTGCAGGATAGCACAGGCATTAATGTGGGCTTAGCTTAAAACCTGTGCACTCTCCAGAGATACTGTGATTTGGAGAAGATCTGTTTTCCCAGTCACCTCATAAAGCCCACCTGAACTTCCCTATTGCCGTGGCTAACCCAACCATGTACCCAAGCCAGCTTTTTCATATCTCTGTATTTTGCAGTAACAAGCAGTATCATCATGGCTGCCTTCCATTTGATGTTTTTCACAGACTGTTCTTGTGTTACGCAAAACACGTGCAGGGTTTTATGGTGAACACGGACTTCTGGTGCTGTTCCAAATGCTGCTGGTTTCTCATAAAGAGTTGTGCCAATGAACCACATGCAGCATGTGACATTTCAGAAAAGAAAAAATGAAGAACAAAAGCAGAACATCTATTTCTGGTGTAGTTGTTAGCAGAGGAGAAATTGCTGAATATTTGACCTGAGTATTGTATCTGAAAAGTCCACTAGCATCGGACATTGCTTGCTTGAGGCAGTGAGTCCATTTCCTGGCTAGAAGGCAGCTGCAGGCCATTGCTGAAAGCCTCTGTGAATGTGCTGCACATTCACAGGTGGTGACTAGGGAGAGCTGCTGGATGGTGGACTTATACCTTTCATGGAAGGACCATTTGAAAATATCTTCCTCTTTGGTGGGGGGAGTGTTTCAGCAAGAAGGCCCTCTTCTACATTTCTGTTTTCCAACCACCTGAAAATGTCAGCAGCTCTAAATGGAGTGATTCTTTTAATTTTCATTTGATTTATTTCTATTGGTTGTTTGAGGTAATTTCTTTCTGATAGTCTTGCCAACAATAAAAAATAAATTCTATATTAAATCCCTCAGGCAACATAACTACCTAATAGTTTTTAGTTTAGTAAAACTTTAAAATAGAATACTTCCCAAACTCATTTGTAAAATTTACTTTTCTCTCTCTATTAGAACAATTCTCCCAAGTCTCATAAGCTGTGGTGGCTAATGTCCCCTTTCTAAAGCTAATGAGGCCAATATGCCATTTTAAATGCAAAGGCTTTGTCATCTGCTCTGTCTTTCAGTTGTCAGGGCCTTCACAGATAGTGATTTTGTCTTATTTATAAATAACTAGGAATTCTTAATGTTTCCAGGGGTAATTATGATTTTTCATACATTATGACTGTAAACATAGAGATTTTGCCTCCAATATGGTGAGTCAAGACAACTCAAGACTGGTTTAGTACCCTCAAGACGATGTCTATCCACCAAAGCATTTCTCTGATCTCAGCTAAGGATAAGAAACTCAAAAGAACAGCAAGAGTAGTGAGAAAAAAGGTGCTCTGTCTGGAAAGTTTTCCTTTTTCCGTTTTCCATTCCACTCCGCTGTTAGCATCAGCCTGATGTTTAGTCTGAATGAGCTTTATCAAAGGCTTCTTTGGCCTGTTATACTCTTGTACCTCCTGCTAGGAAGCTGCTACTTAATCATAAATATGCTGCTTGAGCCAAGTGTAACAAGCATGTCTGAGAAGTCTGAAATTTCCATTTTGACTGATTTATAACAAATTTTATGTTTTTGATATGGCTACGGAGATAATGTATCCTTAGTAAAAGTAGCAACGTGTTTGTAGGTGCTTATTTAGATATGTTAAATTGTATGTATAAAATGGTAAGCTTTCATTTTTCAGTAAATATATACACTATTTTATATTATGATACAGGTATGTACTGTGTATGCTTCTCAGACACATATTAGAGCAGGTGATTTTCTTTGGCTTCTTTTTGTAAAATGTATTTGTTGCCAAAACTTTTTTAAGGAGAGCACTACTGCTAATGAAACTGTATTATACATGCAGAATTATACAGCAGTACTCAATACATACATGTATCCACAGTTTTTCAGGGAGGTACTTCATTACATTATCAAAAGTACAGCTCTGATGATTGAGATTGCACTTGCATTTTAATAGTTTTCTTCTTTGGTCATTATAGTAGCAAGATTATTGTGGAATGTGTGATAATTCCTACAAACATAAAAATTGTTAATAAAAGTGCTAGGCAAAGGGTGTGTTACCAGTAGTGTCCTGAAAAGCACGTATGTACAGAATGAGTTAGGACACAAGGTGTCTGAATTGTAAATGACAGGGCAATATTCATAAGCGATCTTTCATCAGCTCATAAACTGATAAAGTGAAGAAGGTTGTGCAACAATGCGAGCTTTGCTGCAACAGTGTAACTTGGTGTGGTTGATAATCACACTGTAATGTAATTTGAAAAAAGCCATCTCATGACTTATTCTGGTAATAAGTTACTTTGAAATATTAGCTTCCTCAAAATGGGTCTAGTAAAGGGAATTGTTCTGTGTCTCATCTTTCATTTTCTATTACAGGGGCCCAGGGGGTGGTAGACCTTGGCCAAATCCAACTAATGCCAATTCCGTAAGTATTTGAATATATTAAATATCATTTTACATTCAGGGAATTATTTCTCATCAGTACTCCAGGAAGAAAAACACAATCTACTTATTCACCATTTAAAGTGCTGCGCATACGTTCTGTTTTTTCCTGCTAATCCTATTGCAGATTAGGTACAGTGATGAGCGTATCTTAACAGAGGACTCAGTGACCTGTGAATATTTAGCTCTTTTCATGATCACACTGCAGCTCTACATCTCCATATCAGTTACAGACCCTCCTGAAGATGAATGTTGCCATGGAGGATGTTTGAAATACATTCTCACTTCCTTTAGTGCAAGTAGGAAGTTAGGGCAAAGCTATCTGGCTTGCAGTCTCTACAGAAACTATATGTGTGCTCATGTATTTCATATAACAAAAGCACGTTTGCTCCTGTTAACCAGGGAATGTCAGATAGCAGAAATCAGCCATTTTTGGCAGGCTTTTTGTAACAAGGAATACACTCTATTGAATTTTGTTGCAAAAACTACAAAATGAGTAGTCTTATAGCAGCTTGAAGGAAGAGGAGGTCAGTAAGGTATCCCGTGTGAGAAACAGTGTCTGCTATTTCGTCAGAAAACACAAAGGCAGAGTTTTCATTTTCATTCGACAGTCGTTTATCATTAGTGTAAAAATATATCCCTTTTCAGCACTTGCAGCAGAATAAGGTAAATCTTGTTGAACAGAATGGACTGATTCTTTCTGTTCTCAGTTTTGAATTTTTAACTATACTGAAAGACAATTGCAGAAAGAAAGAGCTGAAACTACCTCAGTTTTCTTTTGCATGGACTCAACTAAAAAAGGATATTTTTCAGTGGGTGGTTGAAATACTTCCTCTACAAAATGAATAGAGAAGTTCAGTAATAAATATGTGTAATAATATATGTAAAATGAGTTGGATTGTAAGTTATTTACACTCAAGTAAGATGCTTATTCTACAAAATAATGTATCTTTTATCAATTAAGTTTCTTCTTACCTCATCCTCCTATAATGGCACTGCTCCATGTTCCTTAAGAATCAATCATTGAAAAGAGTATTGCATAAAGAAGAAAATTGACTTATTCATAGCCAATTGGATTTCTGAAGATACTCTGTGTAACAAATACCGTAGCTGAATTTTACATGAAATTAGGACACTGTCCTTCAAAAAGAAAGAAGAAAGAATAATGCTGAGAAATAAAATCAGTAGCTTCTAGGGTGAACAAAACAAGAGTCTGTTTCCTCCTGTGGTCCAGATTTTAATCAAGCTTAAGTATATGTAAGAACATACAAATTCAGTGTATCACGCACACCAGATCCCAGTTTGCATACATTTAAATGTATGAATTATTTGTATTGTTTTCATTAGGGTAGCCACAAGGACACAGTAACCTTAAATGGAAGTATTTGATATGAAATCTAGTTTGTGTCTATATTGCAAATTTTAGACTTGTTGTTGAACAAGGTGTTGAAAAGGTGTTTATGTTTTGAAGACAACAATATGTTTCCATCATTATTCACTACGTGTTGGAAACAAACAAAAATGCATTAACCTATAACTCTTTATAAATATTGGCATGAACTTCATGTCACTGCAGAAAAACCTACTCTTTTGTTTCTGTTGATGTTATAGATACCTTATTCTTCAGCATCTCCTGGGAATTATGTAGTAAGTACAACTGTATGTGTTTACTTATTAGAATAGATATTACATTTTATTTAGGCAAAGGAATAACAGTCCAGATGTTAAGAACCTTGGGGTATTGGCTGAGTACTGAACATCTGATTGACACTTAGTATTTTGTCTGCCATCTTTGGTACATATGTTGATGTTTATTACAGGAATCATTATCAGGCTGGTCAGAATGAGTCTGTGCGCTGTTTTATTTCAACATGTTTATAATAACCAATACAATGTATTGTCTTATATAATAAGGCAGAAAAACCCAGCTATATTGGAAACATAATATCATGTATGAATTCCTTAACTTCTTCAGGGACAAAAAGAAAGCATTTGAAGAATGAATGCAAACTTTTATCTCCCCTAAGAAATATATAAATGGATGATACTAGCTAACATTTTAATGTCAATTTTTATTCTCTTAATTACCTCCTGAAGACTTGGAAAATCTTTTTTCTGTAGTCTGTTATGTCTTTCTTTGACAGAGATTGTCTTAGTTTGTTATGGATTAGTCAGTGGCTTTTCATTTTCCTAGTCTGTACTTTAGAATAAAATAGTTAAAACACTGTCATCGTGCCCAGCATTGATCTGTTATTCTGTGGATCACAGAACGCTAACCATCTCTCTGGAACTTCACAAGAGCATTTTACGTATCAACAAAAGTCTTTGTTGGAGTATGTGCTGCTCGTATTTGTGTCCCAAGAGATTAACTTTGTTTAACCTTTAGAGTTTTAATTGCTGTTGTTACTGTTGTACTTGGGTTATCTTACTTCCCTTCTACTCCTCTAAGGCATATTGTTTCATATATTATATCACATTTAGTATTAAAGTCATGGTGTAATGGGAGGAGAATTTTGTCTCCTATCTGTAGCCATTTGCCATTTGTCATTCTTGTTTGCAAGTTGTTGGATTCCAGTTTTCTGGACAGTCTATATTCTCTTCATTTCTCATTTTCTGAAGGTCAGATAACTGTCATGTTTTAGCTTGGGTCAACAAAAACATGACTCTGTTTCAGAACAAGGGAGTATCAAGTCTTTCACCACAAGGACAATATACCAGTGGTTTTTTAACCTGTTTCTGCTACATGTAGGTTTCTCATTATTTCTTCATAATAGAGATGATCCTTCAGAGATAATGCTTGAAGGATGAGCTCAAGGATGAGCTTGTCAAAAACAATTTATTTTGTCTTTTATTTAAACAATTAGCTGTTAAAGAGATTAAGTTTCCGATAAGTATCCATAATTCTAGGGCTCATTTGCCTGATTTACACAGTCTAAATCTGCTGATGTCCAAGCAAATTCTTTGAATCGACTTCAGGAAGTTCTCTCTGTTGGGAAGGTTGTTTTTGCTGTTTTTGCCCTAGATACTAGTGATCACTTGTTGCAGATCTTGGAAATGGTGCACTGGACTTCATATTTTAGCCTTTGAAATATCTGAAGTCTTGAAAAACTTGAAAAAGAAATGGTAAAGAAATTAATTTTAAAGAGGTAAAACTAAGTAAAACAGACATTGTACTGAAGGACTCTCTCTGTTGTACACATACTAAGGCAAATGTCAGCTAAGTGACATTCAAAAAAAGACATCACCATATTTCAGTGTATAAACAGCAGAAAAGGAATAAGCATAATGAGGTGATTTTAATTCACGCAAGTGGCAGTGATGAGACTGGTGGTGGTTTGCTATCTCTAACTTGCAACGTTGAAGAAAAATTGCAGTATATGTGAAGATGCAAGAAGGAGACACAGAAAAAATTAAAGTACTGGAAAAAAATGCCTGAGCTTCTGAGTAGATGTGCTCTGTGAACTCCAGCTGTGCCCATGGGAGAGGTTGCTGCCTAATTCTTTGTCCCCACTGTTCTGCTGAAGTTTACCAGTCCTAGGTTGTTCCTAGGATGAATGCTTCTCTTCATTCAAAACAACTGAAGTTGATGTAAGCATTTGGAGAATTAGATCCTTCGTAAAGCTGTGAGATTGAGCCAGAAAAGATTGAGGGGCACCCACTCATGAAGATCCTATCAGAGCAGAGACTGCCTCTTGCAGAGTGCGGTGGTGGCGATGAGGTGTGCCAAGGGATGAAAGTTTTTGCCACTATGAATGGTTGCACACTGTATGTCTTGTTTGACCCTAAAGAGGTAGTCTTGCTTCACAGAGGCTCTCTGCAATTTGGAAAATGGAACACGTGATGGTCAGCCATACAGACAGTTAAATAAGCAAAGCTCGGGGGCAGGAGTTTGCTAGAACAGAACAGTTGCAATCATGTGGGGGCTGGTGTGAGCTGGAGAGCTCTTAAAGCAGTTTTCTAGTCAAAGGTCTCATGTTATGGAACTGCTTAATTTGGGAGCTTATTCTGTCTATTTTATCATACAGCTTTTTGAGAAATAATTTCAATATATAAAAATATATTCTGAAAGGCAAAATCATTAGTATGAAAATCACTAGGAGGCTTTTTTTGAAGACAGGATATACACACACTGAGGGTAAAGACCAAACTTATATTAGATGCAGTTATTAACAGTGAATGTGAGTTACTATTCTAATAAATGACCAGTTAGTGGTTTCTACACCCCTTTATGCCGTGTCTGAAAAAATAATATAAATCTAAAATCATGGAGTTTCTGAGCTTAGTATTCAAAGTTTCTGTTTCATTTACAATTAACTGTGAGTTAATCACCTGTTAGCAGATAGAGAGGCTTGCTTCTGATGTGATAAGTGCTTTGCTTGAATGAGCAGAGGCAGGAATGTATCAATCAGAAAGCTTCTACGTTACTGATTTTTACTGCATAAAAGCATTGTACGTTAGCGTATCATTGCTTCTGTTGTGTAAGAAATGTTAGTTTTATAGATCACTGAGAGAAAAAGCTTATGGTTTTAAATCCAAAATTTTGGTGCTTCTTTCCAAAATATCTCAGTGATTTATAGCAAATCCCTGCAATAGTCCTTGTAAGCAGATAGGAGCAGCCAAACCTGTATAGTCAGTGTTACTTGAAAATCTGCTACTTTAAAACTCTGTCTGCTGTTTTAAAGTACAATAAAAGAGATAAAATATAATAACATTCATATAGCACTGAAAATAATCACCTGTTGTTCCCAACCTGTGTGTTTTTTATTATGCAGAGGAGGAGCAAGTTATATTTATTGACATTTTATTGACACAGGCATTTTTGTAAAACTGAGTTGGTAGTTCTTCATGTTGCTTAAAAATGCTAGTGGGTCTGGAAATATAAGCAAGAAGCTGTAGTTCTGTGCTTAGTAAACAATTAGAGTATTTATAATAAAAATAGTGAAGTTATTTCTAAATAAACTTTAAAAGCCAGACGTGTCGGTGTACGGCATTTATTTGTAAAAACTGTAACACAAGAATACCTGAAACTAAGGAAGTAATATTCCTTGCTTGTTTTGTGTTTTGTTGCTGTTTGTAATATATGATTTAGCAGTCTAGACAAGTGATACAACTGTACACAAACTTATGGAGCCACTACTAAACTGACTTTTTTTATCTATTTGTCATTAGTTTTAGAAGGAACTGTGTATACAGATGCTGTTTTTCAAAAATGTAGAATATTATACAATTAAGTGAATTAAGTTGGCTAAGGCACTGAGATACTGTCTAAAAGAAACCCCTTCAGGTCCTGATCCAGGTTATTTCTTTTGTGTGGCTCACATTGTGATACAGTTACTGACTAGCGGATATTCTTTTGTCAGTATACCTGTGTACATAGGTTTATGCCAGAACTTGCTGAGCAATTGCGTTGTCTCAGTCTCTTAGAAGCTGTTCTGCTGGCTTATCAGCAAATGTGTGTATTTTTATCAGAGCAACTTGGGACATTTATACTTTGTTTTCATTTGTGCTGTGTTCATTTTTTTTTCTATGGTATTTTTTCACTTCATTCTAACTGACATTTTCTACTCTCTCTAGGGTCCTCCAGGAGGTGGAGGGCCACCAGGAACACCCATCATGCCTAGTCCAGCAGGTACTGAAATGTACTTAGCAACTATGAAAGAAAATTATGAGGGATTTTAGAAAGTACATTATTGTTATAAACTTTGATTTTAATGAGAAATTATATGTTTGTATGTTCTAAATAATTTTTTCCTGCTCTCTAACTCCCTTTCTGTCCCTGCTGTCTTAGAGACATACAAGTCATTATATCTGTATAGTTCAAAGCAGTTCATTTCTAGCCCAACCTTTCTTGCATTATTTCAACAGTAGAAAAGAAAACAAAAAAAAAAGGAAAAAAGACACAGTCTTTCTTTGTTTTTGCTAAAGTTATCTGGGACAATTCTGCCAGGCTGGAAATGAGGAGATCTCTGAACTGGTAAAACTCCATTGTAGTATCCTGTGGGACAGACCTGACCATCCTGTGGATCTTGGATGAAGTGTAACTCACAGGCATGGCTGTGTCATCTGGCAGCAGGCTATTCTGGGCAGATGGTTCTCCTCCATCCTGCTGTGGAAGAGTAAGAAGGACCCTTATTGTGTTCTATCAGTTATCTGTTTCCAGATCTTCAGGGCCCCATTGTTTCCCTAGTTACATGGTTATTGGCATTCTGACAAGTGGTGACAAAAGACTGGCCACGCTACTACCAAGGTTTGAAGAACTGATCAGGATGGGAAGATTCAGGCCAGCTAACTACCTTTTCAAGGCTTAAAATTTGTCAGACAGATACTAACTACATCATTGTTCTGCAAAGAAGGGAAAAATCACAACATGTGGAAGATGCTGTCCTTCCTTGTGGACAACATCGGGAGTCTAAGATGAAACTAAATACATTACACAGTATTTAGTAGCTACTCAGAGTCCTTTTGGACAACATTTGTCTTTGTAATGCACTTTAACTTTACCCAACTAAGATAGACCTATTCACCTCAGTGATGAAATAGAATCCTCAGTCTTTAAATCCAACATGTTCTTGCTATCCTCTGTAGTGTATGAGGGCAGGGAAGTTACCTAATTTCCCATGAAAACTTCTTGCATCAATATAATATTTTCTGTAATTACAATTCCAAGGCTTTAAAAACACAAGGTGGAGAGTAGGGCTTCATCAGCTATATCACTTGTGGAAAAAGATACATAGAGCAAGCTGGCATTTAAAAGTTAGAATTTATTTTATCATAAAACTTCAAGACAGCCTAAGCTTTTAAAAATAAACAGCCCTGCAGTTACGGCACATGTTAGGCTGTCCACATGCATTTCAGGTAAAGCTTCTGTGGAGGAATTTTTCCTATTTTCATTTGAAGATACTCAGAAATTTTTAACGCTCTGTTTTCCAAAGTGTGCAGATGTTTAGGAATTATCCATCTGAGAGTTTTATAAAGGTATTTATTTGAGAAAAACAGTTCCGAGTGTTCCCAAGGCCTGGGGAGAGCCAGGGATGGAATGTCTCAAAACAATCTTGTGGTTGAAGAACTTCTTATCAGACCTTAAAATAGCTTGCTGTATGCTACTTTCACTGTGATAACTTGAAGTTAAAAGCTTGCATTTCCCCTCTTTTTATAAACAATACATTTGGATGTCCTAGTGTATAATATAGCTCTGTGTATAATGAAATTATTTACTTACCAAGGTTATTTGAAACTTAAAAATGCTACATCAGAAAGACTGGGAAATAGGCAAAGATCTTGATTTTAATGAATGCAGTGTACAAATATATTCTTGCACAAGATCAGGCCGCATTCCCAATTCCAACACGTTTCTATCAGATCTAGGCTATTTTACTTTCACTACTTCAGACTTAGAAGACATCCATCACCTTGTTTTGGAAAAAAATATTTCCAGCTCAGTATTGAATTTTGCATGGGCTGGAGTTCATAACTCTGGTTCAAAGAAATTGAATGGTCTGTTTGAGATCTTTTTGCAGATACTGTGGAGGTTACAGGTTTTCCAGAGCTGCCAGTATTTTTTTTAATGTTACGCTGTCCCCTTCAAGCTGTTTAAACTTTACCTAAGACATTCACCTCACAGAGAATTCTTCATTATATGGCCTATTTCTTCTCAGGTTACCTTGGGAAAGACTTTTGCTAATTTGTCCACCATCTGCTGCATTTTTTCCTTTCCCTTTCTTTGATATTTTGATGAAAGGTGTTAAGACTTTGTATGTGTTAGCAGATAAGTTTGAGATCAGAATGAATAATTTGTATCTAATAGTGATTCTCACCTATTGGCTTCCTCTGTTCAACCTGAAGACTCCTGTATGTCTTGCTAGCTACATCTTGCGTTTCACACTGGGGGTGCAGTACTCCACCAGGGAAGAAAGTTCATGCACATTCATTGGAGATCAAGTCTTACAGCTGTGTCTACAGCAAGGCCCAGTGAAACTCTTGTCAGAATTAATAGCTGAAGCACTATGCTGCTCCAGAATAGTTTTTTTGGTTTTGAACACAGGTTTGTTTTGAAGCATTGCACCACACTGCACCTTGAAGACAGATCAACTAAAGCTGTTCTTAAAGTGAGGATCTTTGCACTGTGCTCTGTTGAATAGCTAGATATGTTCAAAATCTAATGGACTGACACAGATGAGAAAGAATAAAAAATTCCATTTACTATACTAACTTGAAGTCTGTGTAATGGGAAACTATTTATCATTTATTACAGATGGAAAACAAATTACAGAAAGTATTGATAAGAAAGAGACTCCTGTTTTATAGAGAATGTCGAAGATAACTGAAATAATTTGGAGGTCCAGGAAAAAGGGTTTATGGAATTAAATAGATACTGGGTGATTTATAAACCTTTTAACAGTCATGCGTAAAACTAGAGTCTAGAAATAGTCACTCAGGGATCACTGCAATTATTTCTTTTCGTAGCTCTGTTGTGTGATAAAAATAGATCGAAAGGGAATGAAATCTTCCTTTATATTGCTACTGTGTAACAGTGATTCAGGAAACAATATGTACACAATGACAGGAAATGACTTAGGTGAGCAGATTCATCGAAATATACATATTGGCACTTAAAATAATCTCTTATTACAGATTCAACCAACTCTGGAGACAACATGTACACTTTAATGAATGCAGTACCACCTGGACCCAACAGACCTAATGTAAATATGAATCTAGTTATATACTATTTGAATAACATGGGTTGTTATATCCAAAACTGCTACATTTACATCAGATAGTATTAATAGTAAGTTTTCTGTTATTATGGATGATGCTTTAGCTGTTTCCCTGTCCTTTTTAATGTTTCTCAATCATAACAGTATGTATAAAATAATGATTGGGGCACTTTTTCTACACGGATGAGAGCTTAGAAACTTGTGCTTGTGGGTCTTAGTGATAGCTTAGTTGTCAGATTGCCAAATATTCTACAATGTTAATGCCTCTGAGTTTTTGTAAACTGAATTAAGGTTAATAACTACAATTGGACAGAAACTACTCACACTGCAAATATATCTGATTGTCAGTATAGATAGGATGGGGTATGAAAGCTGTTCGTTAATAAAGTACTTGTTGAAGAGAATAGTAAAATTCCCTGTAAGTTCAATGGGAATAGAGCTAGGTCTGCACTAGCAGGTCTGAAAATCATGCACAAGGTACTGAAGTGAGTAATGAATTATTGCTAAATTTTGTGCCAGCCTACAGAGATGAAGTTCTCAAAAGATCATGAAGGGTTTTTCAGTCTAGCATTGGACTTTCACTTGACTTTCACATTCAGATCTGGGACTGTGTACTTTTCTATTTTTGTCCTGAAGAATATTTTCTTTTTATTAGATGACATCTAATAAAAAATCTGTACAGTAATACCAGTTTTTAATGTCCTTTTATAGTTTCCAATGGGGCCAGGGTCAGATGGACCTATGAGTGGACTGGGTGGAATGGATTCACATCATATGAATGGATCATTAGGTAATAATAGTGATATCACAGACATTGTGAATTTTCAACGACCAGTGCCATTTTCTGTGTTCTCTGAGTGATGTGGAAAACTGTATGTAAAAATCTTGTTAAAAAATAGCTATAAATACATCAGGTAAAAGTATTAGGATATTTTTTATGCTTATGCATTGGCATATATAATGTAGCTCTGGAAGAAAAATTCTGTATTGTATTAATGTAACAAAGTATAGTTTTATCCCAGAGGATTGAAAACACTCTAGAAGTGTGTATGTAATGACAGTTAAGTGGAAGTGATGGCTTATGACCCATTTTCACTTCTCGTCTTTCAAAAACTAGAGGTGTTACTCTGACATGCTGGTGCAGGCTCTAATGAATTACTTGAAAGTAAGTTATTACATATATTGATGTATGCGTTGAAGTTTTTTTATCCTAACAGTTGGATATCTTCATTTGTTCTATAATTAGCCATCCTCCTGTTAATAATTAGTGTTACTACTCCATCCACAGAAGCAGCATCATACAAGTGCCAATTTTAATGCAGCAAGACAGAGCTAAGAAAATGCTATTTTCTTAGAGTGTACAAACACTCTAACCACATTGCCTTTTGATACTGTAATTTTTGAAGGACACAAATCTAAGGGAGAAGCCTTGCACAGCTCTACAAAACATTAATTGCTTTATCTGTTGACTAGCAAGCTCCTTGCTCTTTGCTTTTGCTCTTTACTAGAAGGATGATAGACACTTGAAAAGGACGTAAGAAACAAGGGACAGTTAAATAAATTGCATTTCTGCCTTACTTCTCCATACCCATATGAAGTAGAGACAAGGAATTTATTTCTGCTCACAACAGGGCAATAACTATGAATACAGTTCACATGTCTTACTCTTCTATCTTCTGTCTTACTCTTCCAACTTCTGTCTCTGTTGTTTGCCAGGCAAGGTTCTCTTTTACATGTAAGAGCTGCCTCCACAAAGCACCAGCAGCTTTCTCCTGAGTGCCATTTTCCTTTATAGGGAAAAAACCCAGCAAGCTAAATACATGTCCAGCTGGTAGAAGCCAAGCTGCCACTTCCATCTGGCTTTTGTCCCTGGCAAAAAGCTCTGTCATCTTCACAGCATGGGTGTGGATGAACCTTAACTTCATCCTGCAATTAATAACATTTAATTCTATACCCTCATGGCAAAGAAATATCTCTCATTCCTAACACCAGACTTGCAGTCTGTGAGACAGAATCATAAAAAGGCAAAACAAAGGAAGAAATTTCAAAAAAAGTTTATAACAAGATGAAAAATAGCTATGCTATCAGAATTTATTTAGGAGATACATTCTGAACAACTAAAATTCAACAGTACACATCTAATTCCTAGAATTGTCTCTCATTTGTGGGAGGACAGGTTCCTAAAATTCCTAAAATACTTTACATAAGGGCATTTAGAGATTTTACAGTCTTACTTTACAGATTACAATCCTAAAATGGGTTGTTGCTTTACTTAGTAATGATGTGCATTACGTGCAAATAATTGAGAAACTGCACAAAAGGTAATTACATCTTTTTCTGTTAGTTTCCATAGCCATAGAATTGTTTCTTGGATGAAATAAAAAACAAAATTGAAACAGTTATAAAAGGATTTTGTATGTATGTAGCATTTGTTTAGTTACTTCTGGCAGTGAAAATGGTTACATGCTTAGTCAAATCAACTATGACTTCTTCATAAGGTTAATTTTGAATTGAAAATGAAATTGAGTTCTTTCTGCAGAGAAAGGCTGGGGGAGATCTGCTTTCATTTCCGTGCTGCAGTAGGCAGCAGTGTCTCGCAATCAAAGGTGTTAATTGTACTTACCATCTTCCTTTGACCACAACTGCTCTACTGGTGGTAGAGCTATGCAGAGTTGGTGGTTAGAAATATTTTGCTCATTTCCACCAATGTGTGTTCTTTTGGCTGTGACAAAATAGCTCTTCATAACATTTGTGAATTTGATGCATTTATGGGGAGATATCTTATTCTTTCTCAAGCTTCGTTTTCTGTGGCTAAGTCTAAGCTACTTCAGTCACCCCTCGCAACCCCATTTGCTTCATTGTTTTTCTCTGACACTCTTCTAATTGGAGTGTCTTTCCTCTAAATAGGTAAGCAGAATTGTTTACTGTCTGTTGCTGCTAAAAATGCTTTCTGTGATACATCCCTCCTAAAATATTTCCTTTGTTCTTGTCTTTACCAAAGTGAGAACATGTTAAAAAAAATCTTGCCAGTAGTCTTTCATTCATTGTATTCCAGTTTATTTGGTTTCTGTTATTCCAACCCCGAGGATCATCTGCTTCTAAATGATAATGTCATCATCAGTGTCTGTAATACATTAAAAGTGGGTATCATCTCAGCCAGTTTGAGTGTAGGTTAGTGCTTTTTGAGCAAAGGCACTGATGAACAAGAATTCACTAGAGCGCTTCTTAAAAGGGAGTTCTGAATAACTAAAATTCAGTAAAAATAATGTTGTTTCTTTTTTTTACCCCACCAACATTAACTTCCACTAGTCGTCCACCACTTTGCTTTTATTTTTTTTCCCCCTAGGTGTATGTTTTTTTCTCTTAGGTGTATGTACCCCAAATTAATTCCATTGCCTGTACCCTGCCCTGGCTAAGAGGTCAGGGAGGTTGGACATACTCTTCTTCAGCTTGTACTAGGCTGTCTCACCCTAGCAGATGTGATTCAAATTGGCAGTGCAGATGAGGAATGTGTCCTTCATTCTTTTCTTTTTACAGTAGGTGCGTGCACGAAACTAACATCATCCTATATTGACAGTAAACTTTTACAAAATGAGATACTGGGAAGGAAGGAGATAGTGAACTGATAAATTTTAAAATACTGCTGTCATACTTAGTATGGAAAAAAAGCTTTTTGAGTAATTTCAGTTCAAAACTAATTGAATAATTATTTTGTTTTAATTTAAGGCTCAGGAGACATGGACAGTATTTCCAAAGTGAGTACCCAGTAACATTTTTTAATATTTCATCGTAAACATATTTTCTTTGTTATGAATCTTTTTATTATGTATCTACATTTTCTGCTCATTAACTATTTGGGGACTATGCAGACAATAAATATTAGCTGAAAATTTTAAAGCAATGTCTTTGATCAGTAGAGAATATAAATAGAGTCACTTTGTATTGTGTAATACTTTGTACTAATGCATGTGATTGATATATATTCATTTCATATTTTGATTGATCATGTTACAACCTTCCATACTAAGACAAATGAACACATACATAAGGAAGGAACTCTCCACAGTGAGGATGGTGAGACCCTGGCACAGCTGCCCGGAGAGCTGTGGGTGCCCCATCCCTGGAGACGATCAGGGCCAGATTGGATGAGGCCCTGGGCAGTCTGAGCTGGGGGGGAGGGGAAGGCAACCTGCCCAGGGCACGGGGAGTGGAACTGAGTGAACTCCGAGGTACCTTCAAACCCAAGCCATTCAAAAATTCTATGATAGCACAGTTCTAATAATCAAATATCATTAGGTGCAAGTTGGAGAAAATGCCTTAAGGATGTTACTTTTGTGCAGTGCATGATTGTCTTTGTCACCTCCGTAAAGCATAGTTAGTATCTTAATCAGTCTCTAAAAGCTAGATTTAAAAGTACTTGCAGAAGAGTCACTGTTTTGATTCCACAATCATTAAATAGTTTACTCAGAACAAATGTGAGCTTAACCTGCAGGGGTTTTGCATCTACAAAAATCATATCATGCTTTAATGTGTCACTTCTTCCATAAAAATAGAACTCTACTATGCATGTGATCATTATTAATTTAGGAACTTATTCAAATAAGGAGTTAATGAGCTTATTTGGCATTGATAAAGCAGTATAAATCTGTGAACTACTGTTTTGTACTCAGTGTCTTCAGCTGTAACTGACTAAAATTAATAAGTGTATCAGTAAACCACCGCACTTTTGTGCTTTTGATCTACAAATATAGAAAAGGAGGAACATTTTGTTTCAGTTAAAATTCTGTAGCTTGTTCTTTTGTTGCAAAATTCTTAACAATCTTCCCAAAAAGGAGCATGAATCTGTGATAAGTGTATGAACTGCTCTTGTACTTTGGCTGGCTCAGGACTAAGTACCACAGAACTGTTGTGACATCCTTTGCAGTGCAAACTTTTTTACTTTGGACATGTCTGTGGATGCTGTGGTCCTGCTGAGGACATCACTGTTGATGCACCCTCAGGCTGGCCCTGGGCTATGGTGAAATGCAAACACAAAGACACCTAAATTTCTGTTGAAATAGAAGGAATTTGTAGGCTGAGAATACACTCCCAACTGTCCAAAAGGCACGTATAGTTAGTGAAATGTATTTGTATTTCTAAAGTGGAGAAGGAGGAGCCTGAACTGTTCCCCAGGTGGTGCTCAGCTCGGGCTGTGGGAGAAGTGCAGCTTGTAAAATGTGCATAGGCATGTATCATAGTGTGCTGTGCTGTTTATAATGGATTTGCAGTTGCAGCCAATATAGATGACATTATCTTGCATCAGAAGAAATTCACCGCAGGCAAACAGCATAATTTCAGAATTGCACAGGTGGTTATGGCCTTACAACAGCCCTCTGTGGCCGTTCCTGAAGAGAAGTACTTCAGCACTGTGTCTTGGAGCTGGCTGCTGCTCCTGTGATGCAGTAGCATGTATAGATAGCAGTGCTATGTTTTTGTAAGCCTTTAAGGTCTGCATTGTCTTCAGGCCCTGCAAAGTGTAAAATAAGGGTCTGAAATGACCATATTGTCCTAGATGAGCTATGCTGAGAGCTGCAGAGGTGGATTCAATGATAACAACCGTACATCACTTTAAAATCAATATTTCTGTAATGTTTAGTTTTGCGAACTGCAGCACTTTTAAGAAAAAATGGAGAACAATAAAGCCATATCTATTAACTTGCCATAGGATTATTTTGAAAAGACTATACTAAACCCACTGGTAATAAGTATCAGTATATTCACTCATATGATAATCAGATATTCTGAAAACCTGGATCCGGACATTTACTTGGAAGTCCTGTAATTTGTTGACCTTAATAAATATCATGCAAATCAGATTGGAGGCACGTCTTCAAGTAACTAAAAGAAAAAGGTATTTACTCTGGAAGTAACAGAGTTGTCTTGTTACACCATTCTATATAACCACTTGTAATACCTTTTTCTTAATAGCACAGCCCAACATGCAGCCTTCACTGGTACCAGAAGAAGTGGCATGTGGGCACCTACTTGTGTGATCTGGTGTAGGGAACCTACTTTGGCTGGGGGGTTGGACTTGATGATCTCTGGAGGTCCCTTCCAACCCTACAATTCTGTGATTCTGTCAAATGTGTGGGCAGAGCCTTGTGTATTGCAGTGACAACTTCATGCAGATAGTACTGCATAATACTTTAGAAATTTGATTGGAGGTTCTGCTTGCAGGAAACTGTGTATTTATAGAGTTGATGAACGCAGAATTGCTACATGTCTGCCTTCCAATTTTGTACACATACCAGGATTGTTCTGGTTACAGCAACAGTCTCCCTTTACACATCACCAGCTAGTCCTGCAGTTGGCTCTTTCACGCACAGATTTCCAGATTACTAACTAATATGACAGGAACTGTTCAGTGGAGCTAACAGAGTTTGGTTGGGCGTTGCTGGATGCTCAGATACAGCTGTAGAACTCCAGTGGATTAAAATGCATATTAGAGTAGCTGATTGTCTTTTCCCATGAGATAAAGGAAATTAATCCAGCCTTGGTAGAGTCAGTACAGCTCACAGAATTCAGAGCTACATTTTCCATAGACAGAGACAATTTTACTTTAATTGGCTGAATGGCAAAACATGAAGCTTTTATGAAGTAGATTGAGATGGAAGAAGTAAATGAACTGAAATTATGCATATTAAATAAACATTAATAACCAGTGTTTCTTTCAGTGCCCGTGGAATTTGTGCAGTCATCAAAGAAATACTAGCTTTGGAAAAATTCAGCTAGAGCTACAATGAGAAACCCCATACTGGCCATAAAAGCCACCCAGGGGAGTTGCTATAAAAGCATTTATGTCAGGAATTTGAACCTTTGGGGCTGGCATACTGTAGCAATTGCAGAATTTCAAAGCTTTGTACTATACAGAGCAAGATAAAATAGGGGTAAATCCCCAAGGAATGATCAAAAGTACAGGAGCAACATATAAAATAAATGTGACAAGGCCTTAGTGAGTTTTAAATTTTATATTCATAGATTTTAAGGCCAGAAGGGACTGCTATGATTGTGTAGTATGACCTCCTGCATAACATAGGCAACAGGACTACCCTGAATTAGTTCCTGCTTCGGGTCTGGTGGGCGTGGTTGAACTGAGGCAATAGTTTTCAACCTTTTAAAACTGTGGATCCCTAAAAATTTGCTCCAATAACTTCACTAAAGAACAAATGTAATTGCCTGGTGTTAATTAGTTAATTTGCTGGTGTTTTTGTTGGTGCGGCTGTCCTGTGATTCCTGGGGATCTGAGAATCACGATTAGAAGCAGAGTGAATGAGATGGTAAAGAAAACAGAAGGCCAAGGTCTTGACCAAATGGAAATAATGTTTCAGGTTGCTTATAAAAACAGTTATGCTTGCATGTGGATTATGTAATAATTTAATAATTAATCTGTAGTTGCAAATAGATACACCAAACTGAACCTGTAACCATTCAGATTGAAAATGGTGATCAAGATTATGGTAAAAACTTAATGGCAGCTTTTCATTAGCTGAGCAAAAGGCATTTCAAAGCAGATGGCGTGTACAACAATCAGTCCCACTAGTCTGCTCGTATGGTAACAAAAGGTAACAGATTTAAGCTTTGGAGAAGCTAGGTACAAATTACATTTTGTTCTTCCTGGTGTTGGAATTCCTGTGGAATTCTGTAACATTTTGTAATATTTAAATCATGGACAGAGGACAAAATGGAGCTTTTAGAGTACCAATAGGAGCGTTCAAAAATCGGGTTTGAAGGGGAAGAAGTCATAGCTATTCAATGAATTCTCCAGAACGTGTTATTTCCTGCCATTGAGCACCACTGAATGGAGCCAGGCTCTTGTCAGTGATGCCTGAGACAGAAGAAAAGGCACTGGGCACAAGCTGAAGTGCAGGAGGTTCCTTCTGACTATCAGACAGCATTCTGTGCTGTGCAGTTGACGGAGCACTGGCACAGGGACACAGAATCTGTGGGATCTCCTCCTTGAAGATCGCCAAAAGCCACCTGGGTGTGAGCCTGGGCACCCTCCTCTGAGAGTTCCTGCTGAAGCAGGGGCTGGGACAGAGAGACTATGCCAGCCTCAACCCTTCTGGAATTCTTTGTAAAGCCACTGTGGGGTGGATAGTCTTAGCAGTAGTGGGGAATACCAAGGAATTAAGGGGTCTTTCTCTTAATTTAATCTTTCCTATTTTTTTCAGTCATAGTTTATCCTACTACAAACTGAGTCATCCTAAATGAATACTTTCTGCAGGTATTTTCAAAGTACAGTGCATGTTTTTTAAAGAAGTCTTATAAAATTATGCTAGCAGGCATACTTTCTGTTATTCTAATTGGGAAATAACATACAAAAAAAAAAGGATGACTCAGGGTTCTTTGAGTTGTTGCTATTTGGTCACTTAGGACAAAATAAAGTTGTATTTTATCAGCTTGCTCATTGACTACACTGGATTTTTGTTAAGTTCATAATGGCATATCAAACTTGGATTTGTACTGTTAAAATTCAACAGCAATAACATTCAATTTTTTGGATCAAAAGACACAAGGGGAGAACTGTGACAGACATTATAAACTTTTCTAGTGAAGATCCTGGTTTCATATTTCCATGACTACTCCTTTTCCATCACAAAACCTGTGTTAACAGGAATCTTAGCAGTGATAGAAATAGAAGCATTCGTACTCCAGGCATGACAGGTTGCCACAAATGAGCTTTGTGAAAACAGCTAATGAATTGTAGTGTCTGACATAATCATGTATTAGCTGTTGACTGAATAATTTCTGTAACAGTTAACTAGTTTCGTCCTTTCTGTAAGTAATTGAATCTTGAAATCATTTTCTGAACCTTGTAGATCTGATTGTGTAGTATCTATTTTTTAAAAATAGCCATTTATCTTCAGATGCCTTTGTATTGTTACTATTAATTAGCATCTCAGTTACAACTAGACACTGGAAAAGTAAATTAAGACACTCTTGCAACAGGCTCTGTGTAAGCAAATACAAAAGTACAACTGCTTCTGAAATTTTGTGCAAGTCTCATCTGGGGGCTGGATCGAGGGCACTTTGTCTGAATCCTTCTTAACTCAGCTGCCTATAAACTCCTTATTACCTGCTCACAGTGAAGTGGCTTAGCACCTCCATGACTGACTACATTCCTGAACTACTTGTGAAACTATTTCCATTAACAGTGTAAGCAGAGTCCCCAGATATGGGTCTTGATTAGTGAGGTGTGTGTATACTGTCCACATGTTGCCCACCAGGTATGCTATGCCTTCAGAAGTTGTGTATGTCAAGACACATGCTTGTAGACTTTGCTGGATTTGACCATATGAATGAACACAGTGCCAGAGCTTACTCTTAGACCTGCTGAAGTCATTTATAGTTTTTCCTGACTTCGGTAGGAGAAGATGGTGGCAGTAACTCTGAAAATTAGAACTACACGTAAATAGTTGTTCCTTCAGGGCCAGGAACCTGTCTGTATGGGCATGAAATTATTGACATAAGCCTGCAGAACTCAGCAGTCTTATCTCTCTTTGTAAATCCAGTGCATTGCATATTATGCTGCGCTGCTCTGTGTTGTAGTATTGAGTGTGTGACACTTCATGAAGCCTGGAAATTAAGTGGTGTTCAGCGCTTAATCTGTGTTTTAAAATCTTGTTTAACAGAACTCTCCCAGTAATATGAGCATGAGTAATCAGCCTGGCACTCCCAGAGATGACGGCGAGATGGGTGGAAACTTCCTAAACCCTTTTCAGAGTGAGAGCGTAAGTATTTTTTTACGGAGTTGTTTTACTTTGGGAACTTTTGTTCCTGGTATTTTGTTTAAAAGGAAAAAAAAATACATTCAGTGTTCAGTGATGCAGAGTGGGCATTTATCAGGTACTATCTGAGCAGCTGAAGTACAGATCTTTACATCTGAGTATTTTAATTTGTGATTGCTCAACCTTTGACTCCTAAACAATGCGTTTTAAAGTGCAGGAATATCTTCTAGGACAAATTCACACTGAAGTATATAAATAAGAGCACCAGATCTCGTGTTGTAAGGAGGTTAGTATGCTCTCAAAGACAGAAAAGGCAAAGGTGCCCTCTAGTGTTCATTCTTGGACAAATGGTGGTATTTTTTTTTTGTAATGGAGACCACTTACGGCAGCAAAACATGGTATACAGTACATTGCAAGGTATTTTCCTACTCCTGTGCCTGAAGCTGGGTTTCTAAATCCACATGTAGGTTCCTAAGTAGAAGTGGCCTGATTTTTCAGAAGTGCTGAGTGGCTTCAACACTTCTATTCTTATTGGAAATCACTGCTGCCAGAAGTGAGTGCAACTTCATTAACTATGCCAGTGGTGAATTTTGACTCAGTAAATGTGAATAAACAGTTCCTCTCAAATCACAGAGCAGAAAAATTGCATGGCAAGTTCAGTGGGAATCAGATTTTGGGGTGTTTTGTTGTTGTCATTATTTACTTATTTGAAAGTGAAAAGAAAGAGAGTTTCTACATGTTATTGCATGTATCTTCAGAAAGAGGGCATATGGTCAAATTGGTTGGAGTATTGGAGGAAATCAGTTTGTACCACCTAAATAGATAGATGTTTTAAAATCTACCAAAAAAGCACTAGACACAAAACCTCAATTAGATGTTCCTCGGTCATGGTAATCTGTGACTTTCCATTTGGCTTACTTTGCCTGAACTGAAGGCAGAACTTCTTTGACATTCATTAGGGTTTTGATTGCGATTAGGGGAACTTATAATAAAGTAAAACTGACAGATAAGCATTATTTTGTCTTTAGATTCCTTTCCAAAGTGACTACAGGGATACATTGACATTTACTATAATACAGAAATTCATTTGAACAAAGGTCTACTTTACACATTTGAGTTGTTCTCTCTCATTGGCTAACATAAGCATGCTGACCCACTGTGAGAATGCTCAGCCCAGGATGAGAGCAAGCCTCAAAGTAGAAAAAACATCAGGGATGTTTTATCTGAGTAGTCCATTCTGTGCATTCAACATGACAGAGACCCATAACAGGTATTCATAGACACTTGGAAGCAATCAACTCAAAGCTTCAGCTTTGGCGGTTATTTCACTACCTGCCTTGTTTTTGCAAAGACAAATAAATATTTCCATTTCTTGTATCAGTTTTCATTACAGTAATATTTCTTGTGTTTGAACATTTTCCTCTACTATGATTTTAGGGTGATTCAGTTTCTATAGTCTGCAAGTCACAAATCAGGTATACAAATGTCGAGTTCTTGTAGGCACTGTGCTGTGCCACTGATTATTTGTAAGAAAGTACTGCTGACTGGAGGGCAACTGTAACTTCTGTAAGGGCTGCAGTTTAGCTTGTGTTAAAATAATAAGTTGAAGTGGTGACTGAACTTTCAGTTCATGTAAAGAAGAGTGGCCACTGATTCAGCTTGTCTCCTAAAGTCAATAACACTGAATAATAGAGACTAAAAGCGCAGCTGAATTCCAGTCAGGCTTATCTGCATGCCCTTCTTCCCATCAAGTAATAAAAAGATCTTCCAAAATGTTTACGTGGTTCAGCTTACCACAAATGCAGCTGCTTTACTTGAGATCAGCTCTTTGACTACCTAAATCCCCAGTAGCCACAATCAATCAGGAAAAGGTCTGGAAAGCATCACTGAAGCAGTAGCTCATCACATCACTCAGGTAACAGGGAAGTAATCTTTGAGTGAGTTGACTCAATCAGTAAGAGCTGTATTTTTACATAATGAATGAAGGGTAATAGAAATTACAATTCTGCAAATTGAACTGCAAGCCTTTGCACAGGATATAATGCAAATGTAGGAGAAAATTCAAGGAGCATGTTGACATTTGAACTCATTGGTCCTGAAGTGGTTATAGTTACCTGGGTAAAAAACAGTTGTTAAAATGTGAATTCCTCTTTTTTCAGTACTCCCCTAGCATGACAATGAGTGTGTGATCCGTTAACAAGTCTCGTCCTGAAGACCACAGTGAGTTGGCCCTCTTCAGAGAGCTACTACAGAAGAAAATTATTCATCCCAGTGTACAGTCTTAACAAAAGGATCTCAGACATAATCAGACCCACCATTTTTTTTTCTACCATCTCCCCTGTTTTTTCAAGAAAGTGGGTCCCAAACATGATTGAGACAACTGAGCGGCATAACAGAACTGCCCATAATGGAACTGAAATTATCTGTGTATGTACATGCGTGGGTAAACGTATATGTATGTGTGTGTGCACATTAATACACACATACATATATAGCCCTGCAGGACACTGTAAAATATTATCACATGGCATCTTAAGTAGAAATGAAAAGTAGGGACTTATATTCCATCTTTTTTTTTCACGTTTACATTCTAATTGTTAAAATTTGCTTGCCCTCTCCCCTCCTGAACTGTTTTACGTTGCATATATCATTGCTTTATAAGTTATTTTTTAAGGTGAACTCATTTGATAAATTCTGATTTTGTAAATGTCTGCCATTATGGATAGGAATAAAATTGCTTATAAGAGCTTTCATTAACTTGTGTTTGATACCAGTTACATACCCTGTGAATCACAAACTGTGTTGTCTCAAGAAATAGAAGAAAGCTCATCTTAATTTTTTGGAGAAATTTAATAATTTTCACCTAGTTTGGTGATTTTTTTTTAATACTTTGCCTTTAAAAAAAAAAAAAAAAAAAAAAAAAGAAGCATGGAAGGTTATTTTTCTTCTTTAATTGAAGCCTAATATCTGCAATATCTATTTTGAAATGGAAGCCTGAATTTGATACAAGCTTCTCAGTATATATAGAGTACTATGAGGTTACTATATGTGAGCTCCAATTGCTATAGAATCTAGCAATAAAGTGTCAGGGCTTATTCTGCCTTTGGTAATGGATTTTCTGTTTAGCACGATCCTCCATAGGGGTGGTAACTAGTGGAAATACAGTAGAGTTCTGATTAACAAAACCTGTTCTAACAATTTATGTTTATGTTTCCCCTTTTCAGTGATTCTCAACTGAATCGTAATAATCCATGGTCTTGATTATGCAATCTCCCAAGCCCATTGAGAAGTCAGGTCACTCTGGTACATGAATTCACCCCCCCAAACCTTTCAGTAAGCAGCCATTTTTGTGAAACAAAATGAGGGAGTAAATATTTTTTATGACTACTATGTCTTGTGAGGGTCTTACCTGTTGCCATGAACAAAAGAGGAACAAAGGTCTGGGGCGTTTTATAAGGTCAGCATATTAGATGTGAAAGCTGGGAACAGAGTGGAGAAAAGGTGTGTAGTCTTTAAGGAAGAGCTTCTGGAAATAATCCCATGTCTCTTTAGGCAAAGCTCTAAAACCAAGACTGTAGTTAGTTCCTAGTGACCTCCAGATATCCCAAGAAAATGAAAGCTTTCAATTGAGTAGTGGTCAAAACATTGATGATCAGCAATGTGAACACAAAGTGGCTGCACTAAAATTTTTGCCACAGCCAAAAACCAAAGTCCACTTTGGACTTTGCAGATGGAAGAGCCACTTAATAGGAGGAGCACTTCTGGACAGACAATGTCCATGCAGTCTTGTAAGGGGATATTTTTTCATAAATTTGTGCTGAAGAATTGTATGTAGTATGCTCATTGTGATGGTAGATGCACATAAGGAGTAACAGAATCTCATAACTCATTTTTATTTTTATATATGTTATATATATGTGAAAAAAAAACATATTTTATTCTCTTGTTAGGGCAGTTAAGGATGAAGCTCTTGGAGACTTAAAATTATGTTAAAAGTTTTGGTAGTGTTATTTTTTAGTAATTTAGTTTGATTAGCTGTAATGTTGAACTAGATTGTCATTATATAGTTTCTTGGACTTTATTCCCAGTGATTATGAAGGTTGAATTAATTTGCTTCTCTTTGGAAAACATTTTGTTGCTGTCTAAAGTGATGCCAGGAGCCCCTATAATTTGCATTAAAAAAAAAAAAAAACAACAAACAAACAGAAAGCAAGACCTAATTTCCTGAGATCTGTCATGGTTGTTACTAGCAAGTTTCCCTGGTTGTGTCCACGGTGCAGCCCATCTTCTCCCAGAAATAGTGCGAAATGCAGGCATCCTTGCAGCTTGTATTTGTCATCTGTATTATCCTTATTGGTAGCCTTCCAAGAACAATTCTAGGACTCTTTTCTGCCCAGTATCAGGCACATGATGTCATTGCTGCTGGACTAAGGTAGATGAATATATCTGGACATCACGTGCCAAAGCCCTTTCATGCAGCAGGTAAGTGTGCCCTTGAGTGAGCCTGTGACCTGATTCCATCTGGGGTCTGCTGAGTGCCTTGGAGAAAGCCCCTGCAAAGCGTCACTGAGATTGTAAGACAGTGCATGATGGCCCTGGAGCTTTTTGCTCTAGCAAAATTAAACAGAGCTGTGGCTTTGTATTAATCAAAACTCTTTTTTTTTAAATTTTTCCTCCTGAATTGGGTATAATCTTCAACAGTTTAGCTTATTGGCACCTGTTAAGGATGAAAGTCTGACCATTAAATTAAATCTATGCATAAAGCAGTACACTTTAAAAAGAACTGCCAGCACATACTGAATATTATTATCAAAATATGTTGGCCTAATGTATATACATGAGCATAACATCCTTTCAGACATATCTCTTCTTCTGTATTCTTTTGAATCTCCTTTCTATGCAGTTTTTCTGATTGCCAGCAAATCTTTGTTACCCCTTTACATTTCATTTGTCAGACATTTATATTAAATTAAACATTGTTGCATCAATTCTGCAGCATGAATGTCAGCACATACACTGCTGGTTTCAAAAGGAACAGAACTGGGCTGTGCTTCTTATAACGTGTTACTCTGTGCCCTGGTACTTCAAGTTACTAGGTATGTCAGCACTTTCCATAACTATATAACTCCACAGATAGGTGTGACAGAAGATGTGCAAGCTTGCAAAATTGTAGATTTGGGATGTTTGATTGAATAATCGGTGAACATCTTGTTATTAGAATTTTAATCAGATATAAAGTAACCTAATCATCTTGCTTTTTGTAAGGAATGCTTGCCTTCTGTGCTTACATACATGAGTGAAGTTGTAAATAACTCATTGCTCATTGCTAAGATCAGGTGATTACAACCATTCTGGAACTGAACCTGTAGAAAACAACAGGATGTGCTAAATGCTCAACTTGTAAATTACAGGTATCCCATTGTTTTTTAAATTTGCATGGAGATTTTTGCTTGGTAATTTGTTTTCTTTCTTTTGCTTATGATCCTTGTAGGATTTTCATCACATAAAGGAGTATTAATATGGAAAGAAAGATTGTTTCCAAATACTGACTGAATACACCCATTTATGTTTCTAATGCACTAGAAATGTGCATTCAGTGTGTAATGTAACTGATGTTTTTATCTGTCCTTATGCAACAGCATTGTTGATTATGTCAGAACTTGTCCAGCTCTGGGAAAAATACTATTCTCTGTGATGCCAGGTAGTTTTTTCACACTATGCTTTTAGATAGATTTCTTGCTTTCATATAGAAAAGAATAGATAATGATTTAGCAGATGGATCTTTCAAGCAAGGTTAAAGTAAGGCTTTTTGGGGGTTTGGACTCGATGATCTCTAAAGGTCCTTTCCAACCCCTACAATTCTGTGACTGTGATTTTTAAGAACAAGTGATGAAATCTTAAAAGTTAGAAATATGGGAATAGTTTATTGGAAGTGCAGAAGTAGAGTCTCATATCATCAGAATTCTAGCAAAAATTCTGGCCTTGCAGAATTCAGCTGGAGTTGGGATTCATTTGTGGATTTCACAGTGAAATCAGTACTTTACCTTCTACATAAACCCTTGAGTAGGAGCATCCATACACACATTTTATCTCCATATCTGAGTCTTGCATAGACAAGAATGGAGTTTAAGGCAAGGAAGAAGCTGTATGAATCACTGGTAAAACATGTAGCCTGATACAAACAAGTACCTTGTATCTGCATGCATGGGTTGCATTATTTTCTTAATTGCCTGAGCACAAGGAAGAACTGAAATTGCACTTGATGTTCTAGGAGTTGGTACATGCAAAAGACAGCAGTAACAGCAAGAGAGGTCTCTCACACTCTGTAGGTTGCTCAAATGTGTCCTAGTTTGCCTTGGGATGACTGGCATCCGAATGACAGGCGAGTTCCCCCAGGAGTCTCCAGAAGCCAGCCCACCCATGTGTCACCTCCTCAAGGAGAGTACTGACTGCCAGAATGACCAGCTCACTCCCCACTTGATTCTGCAGAGCACAGTGCCCCGTGTCTCATTTCATGTACTCCGGAGGCATTCAGACCTTGCTCCCCTTGTAAAACACGAGAGAGATATAGGCTCATCGTTTATCTTAAATAATAGAAAACAGGGAGAAGGGAGTAGAGCCTTGCCTCTGGAGAAGAGTTCAGAATCATTGCATTGGGGCAGCTTCATGAACTGGCCAAAAAAATCGTTTGAATTTTGCCCTATTCTGTGGTTAGCAAATGAAAAACTGCATTTCAACAGGATTCAGAATTAGATGGGCAGTGTAATGAGACACCAGCTGTTACAGTATTCAGTGTTGAACATTTTACTTTACTAGTTAAAATGAATTTTCAGTTGACAAATGTTTCAGTGATTTCTACTTCTCAGATCAGTTAATTATTTTTAGGTGTTTTCTCTTCTTCTTAGGCATCTCTGATCCAGTGTTGTTGGTGACAAATATGGACTGAATGTCCAGAATTTGACCATATATTTTTGCATTTGCAGAACATAAAAGAGGGTTGAAAGATATTGAAAACAAAACAGTCAAAGAAAACCTGGTAATTTTTTTCTAATTTATTTCACAGTAAGTGAGGATAGAACCACAGCTTCTGTCCCAAATGTTCTTGGGCTTGGTTAGGCCTTCAGGAAGGGAATCCTGGCAAGCACATCTGTTAAATTAATCCCTCCCCCCCGTCCCTCCCACCCCCCAAAACTGTTTCAGCAGTGACAGCTCATTTTTCTTTAAACTGATCACACTAAGGATCTAATTCAGGATGTAATGAAAACAACATCTATAAAAATTGAGTACACTCAAATGTAAATGACTTAGGTTTAAATTTCAGTGTGTGCAGCTCCCTCTGCTTTCCAGACGTTATTGGCTCCATCCTATAAGCTGCTGTTTGTGCCAGTTGTCCTGCTGAAACTTTGATGAAACCACTCAGATAGCGTCATTTTTCTTGTAGGATTTCACCCTGACCTTGGTGAAATGTAGAATTTGCCTGAGGTGTGACATTATTTCACAGATCTATATTTGGAGAAAAATACAAAGAGTCTACTGAAATTACCAAAATTTTGTTTCAACGTGAAAAACAGAGGAAAAAATCCTTAGCTAAATTACTCATTTGAGTGCATGCATGCAAGTTGTTTGCCAGCACTGTCATCTTGGAAACAAATTATAGTAACAAATTTAGGGAAGATAAATGGACTGTCTACTCAACAATTGAAATTCTGATCCTGCACATGCTCATTTGTTTGAAATAAAGCCTACACAGGCTTAATTTTAAGCAGATTTAACAATACAAATTATATCCTTCAGAAGAGTGAGACTGCTAAAATGCTAAACCCAGGCTGAGCGTGGACAGTCTAAAAGTCTTCCCCAAGCCAACATTTTGTCTCATTTTACTGATTTTACTGGTGCGTGAACACATTCATGTGCCCATAGTACTGATATGTGGAACAGATATGGCTTTCTTCTGTTTCTTAGTTTATTTCTTAGAGCATTGTTCACTCCTATATTAAACGTTTTTGTGAACTTGTCCTTTCATTTTGCTTTCAATCATGCAGCCATAGTTTCCCTCAACATAGCTAACAGCTTTGCAGTTTTAGTCTGAACTTCTCTTTGGTCACTGTTCTTCATCTAAGCCTAAAATATGTAAGAAAGCCTCTCATGTAATGGGAAAACTTGCCATAAAAATGTGTAAGGGTTTTCTCGGGTACATGTTTTCACGTTTAATAAAGAGACAATTTTCAGTTATGATTTGAAATGGTCACTTTCTAGCCACTATTTAATATCTACGTTCAAAAGAATCCAAGAAAGCAAATGACATTTTTTTTTCCTTCTCTATTTGAATTCAGCATTGTAAAGACTTACTGAAATACATGTTTTTGGGAAGCCAGACCAAACCAAAACTTATTGCCTAGCTGCTATAAATAACACAGGCCTTCATGCTGAAATCTCCTTCCATATCCCTAAGAGCAAGTTGCCTCACATCTGATGCACATGGCTCAGCAGGCCTTTGTGGGGCCTGGCTGTTGAGGACTGGGTGGCAAATGACCTTCATACCCAGCCTCATCTCTCCAAGGGAGCTGCTGCACTGCGTCTGGCAGTTGGGCCTGTGGGATCCTTGGGATTTTGCAGGACTGGAGCAAGAGGTCTGGTTTTTCTAAGAGAAAGTTATGCGACGTTGGCACTGGTTTTTGGAATCAGTGCAGAACGTTTTTGGGTTTTGGTTTGTTTGGGGGGGGGTTTGTTTGTTTGTTTTAAATTATTATTTTTTTATTTTTTGCTAGGCGCTTTTCCCCAGTTCCTTGTGTGTGCTAAGAACTAGATCATACAGTTTGGAAGTCTGGTTTGCTTCAGAAATATGTACAGCTCTTCAGGGTTGGAGGGAGTTATAACAACACCCATGGCCAAACCTATGTTTGTCCCCAGTTTGGTGTGAACAGTTGTTAGTACAGAACTTTGCTCCTTACCACAAGGAGCCAATTCTCCTCTGGATGAACTGGAGATTTGTAGGTTTTATTTCTGTTGTTTTTCTTCCCTCTCATTTGTATTTTTCCATTAAATGTACTCAGCCAGATGTTTACACAAAAACAAGAACAATTTGCCCAATAAATATTCAGAAAGTTACTCACATCTGTAACGAGAGTCCCACCATAGAACATTTATTTCATGACAAACGTTGTGGCTGTGCAAGATCCCGAGAGCTGTTGTTAAGTGTTCAGCATTAGGAAAGTTAGCTTATTATGCATTAGACAAGATGACTTCCAGCAATGACATAAAATAGCCTGAGACAGAAGTTGATATTTGCTGTGCAGAATAGAGGAAAATTAAAATCCAAACAGAGCCTACGTGATTGAAGTAGGAAACGATACTAAAGATGTGATTTCTAGGAGAATTCGAAAAGTACATTAGCTGGTAATAAGCTTTCATTTACATTGACATTAAAAGTTAAGGAGAAGTGTATAAGTTCCTAAATGAAATAAGGAAGGAGAGGCATGAGGACAGTGTGAGCTGGAACTTTCTGCTGAGAATCAAGTAACTTTTTCTTGGGGGAGGAGACAGAAGGAAGGCATCCAAGGAACCCTTTTTGCCCTGCAGTGGCTGTCTGAGAAGTGTTGTATCAGCATGCCTTGTATGCTTACTGACAAATTGTGAAGCTTTTTTTTTTTCCTATGGCAAGTATCCCCTTCCAAGAATGCTGTGGTGCATCTATTTTGTGCATGTTTGCCTAAACCAAACAAAAAAACATCAAAGCAGCTTTTTATGCCAGATTTTTACTGCCGTACATGCAGCCAGAAAACACTTATTTCTGGCAGGGAGAGGAGGAAGATTTAATTGCGTATCTGTGGCATTACTTAAAGCATTGGTAAACTGTTGTCAGTTTGGTTCACATTGCACACATACTCTGTGTAGCCAATGGCTGGCATTAATACCTCAACAACTCTTGGTCTGTAAACTCCTACAGGTTCTGTGCAAGAAACCTTGTCTCCATTGCTTAATACTATAAATTCCTTCCCTGAAGCAAGAGGTGGCTTTGATTGTGCAGCCGTGTGTACTGTGTACTACAATAGTACCTGTTCTGTCATCAAAACTTGCTGTTCACGTCTAAGTAAACCTTTGTTAAGCACGCTTAGTGATTTCAGGACTTATTTCAGACAGCAGGATACATAAGCTGCTAGCAGGAATATTAAATCAAACACAACCTAAGCAAACCTGGCTCAGTTTGCATCCTGTATGAGGGCCTGGGGCCAAGCACGATTGGACAGCCAGCATCTTGCAATGCCATGCTGGCTGTGTGTGCAAGTTGCTGCTGGGAATCAGACCCCATAGGAAACGCACACCAGGTTCTCCCCTGGTGTATCAAAGCTTCTGCATTGGTGCCAGGACAGAAACCCATAACTGTTGGTTGCAGTCAGGGAACATTATCTGTGCTGCGTGCCCTTGTCACCAGCTATCACTGGCAATGCAACCTGAGAAATTTGAAGGGGATTCATAGTCATGTATTTTTTAGTTTAAGTGACTAGGCTGACCTTTTGAATAAGCACAGTATTTGTTAGTGATTTGCACCTTCACCCATTCATGTAAAACTCTTTGAGTATTGAAAAAAATGTTCCTCACACCTCCAAGACCATCTGTAGATCAAGTCTTTATATTTCTAAGGCCAGAAAGGTAAAAAAATAGAGAACAGGGCATAATCACAGTTCAAGAAAAGTGCTTGCTGGCTGCGTATAAACAACTAGGTAGGTGTGTTTTCAACAGAGATTGACTTTCAATATCACAAGTGAAACAAACACTCAAACTCTAGTCTCTAGAAATAAGGAGAAATTTTCCAACTCATCTGGAATTAAATTTGTCAATCTAAATATTAATATAGAAAATCCATACAAAGCAGGATGGCCTGCCTCTGACCTTAAGCATTAATACTGATTTTGTGTCAGGTCTCACAGATTTTGTATATTTCAGTGCAGCTGTATTTCTCCTCAGTAAGTGCTTGACTTTCATTACTGACAGGCAAATAAGCAAAGAGCTAATCCATGGCGTACCAAAAGAGTTCAAAAGTATGGCAGTACAAAATTCCCTCCACATCATAAATATGCAGATGCGTGCATGTTGCATTAGGGCAAGTAAAAACTCCAGTTGCAAACTCCTCCAGAATTCGTGTGTGATTTTTGAAGGCAGTCTCTTGGACCGTTTCAAAAGGGCAGCAGGCTGCACAAATGGGAGGTCCAACAAGCTGCTTGACAGTGTACCTTTCTGAGTTGTTTAAGGTTTTGCTTTGGGGATCATGACTAGTCCAGTGGCAGCCCTTAGAAGCAGTTATACCACGCATGCATCTTAATTTGAAGCTTATTGAATGTGTCAGAAAACAGACATGCACCTGAAGGCCTCCCTTCTTTAAAAGTACTGTTTGAACAAAATGTCCGGCTGTTTTCCACAGCTGTTAAGCTGCTGAGAGGTTTGGTGGAGTTAGTTCTGTTGTACCAAGAGACAAAAACTTGTGCCTGTGTGCAGACAGCCTCCCCAGAGGAAGTGTCTCTGGCAGCCAGGCTGGCACATCTTTGGGAATCCGTGGTGTACCAAGAAGCCTAAGGACCAAACATGGGAAACAAGGTCATAAATCTCACTTCACTGTTTTATCTTTGAGAGTTCCTGGCAAGACCAGGGAGCTGCAAAGTGATGGAGTGCATGGTCCCTGACCAAAGGCCTATCTGTGTTGGAGCATCCAACAGTGCTCTTGCAGACTGGTGTTTGGTGATGGTAATTTGACACCACCACACCAGACTTGGTTTTGTTCCTCACTGGTCTGATTCAACCTACCCTAACTTTAGCCACCTAAAAATTACCAGTCTAAGTTCCCACTTTTAAGTCACAGGAAGAGCAGAAGCAGAGATGCCTCTGAAAAACTGTATGATGGCATCCATTGCCCTCTCCAGTGATAAATCCTGATTGCTTTTAAGAGCATACACTTGGGTTTAATACTTAGCTTCACATCCCTGGAATGGGTTAAAATGGGAAAGAATAACATAGCTCCTGAGAATCTGAATCCATGTGGCTTCCAGATGAGTTTTTTAAATCCTTCAGTCTCAAACATGATTTCTGTCCTGTAGTTTGCTATTGCCTCCTTCTGTACTTTTTTTTTTTTTTTTTTTTTTTTTTCTTTTTTAATATATATATATATATGTAAGCAGGGGTAACTTGAATTAGCTTGTTAAACATTTCTGGAAGGTTTATCCCTGCCCTCCCTTGTTTGTTAAATGGGCTCTCTCATTCTTTGTCTGCACTGATTCATTCATTTAAAGCAACATATGAAGAAACCATTGCATAGATGAATCAACACCAGCAATAGCATATGCTGCTTTTAAATTCAGCTGTGAGGTTGTAACTAAGATATTAATGTATATACTTTCTAGGGATGACTAGATTCCTTTTCCTAAGAGCTTTCAGGAATGAATCTAGAAGCTCCTAATTTAGGATTGTGAAAATTCAGGTAGTAATGGCAGTATATGGGGATTTTTTGTACGCTTTCTGTAAATGTATATAATTTCATATGCTGGTTTGGAGATAAGGAAGGTACCCAGTTTCAGATAGACCAGATTTTTGCAGACAGCATTACTGTCCGGGTTAGCAAAGCCCATCTAAGTTCCACCTCAGGCTTGCACCATACACCTACCTTAATTCTCACCCAACTTGGTATCTGTCCTTCTTCACTCACCATGGGTACCATGTCAAAACAATCATACCACTTCTTGTTGCAAGCTGAGGAACAGCTGAGGTTTAAAAATATGAATGTTGCAACTCACGCCTTTTCACCTTCATGAAGTGTCCACATTGTCTCAGCTGAGCCTCCAAAGAGCGGCTGCCTCCAAAGTTGCCATATAATTTCATCACTCAAATGTAGGTGTAATTTATTTTTCATAATTTAATGAGTCTAACAGCAGTGGTATAAGTATGTTTGCTATATTTTCAGAGTTGTGGGTTATTTGGTGTTGAAAATGATAAGCATCTTGTGTAGCTATGAATAGAAAAACTGAGAAATGCTTCTTATGATAACGCTAGTACAATCCCTGCTCTGCTGTTTCATATTTTAAGTGCTGAACTGAACCAAAATACTATCTTTGAGAATTACCCTAGACTCATCCCTCCATGATTTTTTCTGTTCCTGCTTCTGGGTCCTTAGTGAATTCTGGGCCAAAAGTAAAGCAGCGGCAGTGACAAAGGTAACTGTGGTAGCCACTTATGGACAACTTTTCAGATGCATACAGCCGTTCTTGTCTGTTGCCTGATACTCTTGCATTTTTCTCAGTGGATCACCATATTCTTGAACATCTTGATGGGTTTTGTCAGCCATGGAGGAGATGTGGACAAGATTAGCACCGGGGAAGTGTTGAAATGTAGCAAGTAATGAGCTATCTTCTCCAGCAAGCATTTATTTTTAGTGCTTAACTTTCAATTAATGTTTATATTTTCAGTTATATTTTATCATTCAGTATCTTGAGGTGGTTTGAGCAAAATATATGAATATATATAATTTACAAGAAATATAGGCTTGTATTGTGCCTTTGTAATTCTCTTCAGCTTCAGTATCTATAAGCTACGAGCGGACAAACCTTTGGGGTATTCTTTACTACATAGTAGCTGATGGCTTCATTAATACTGGCTATTTGAATCTTCTGGGTCTAATGTTTATGTTTTCCCAGGTGAAAACGCCATAGTGTTCTCCACCAGACATAAGCACAATGACATATCACTGCAGTGCATGCTGTCTCTTAGCTTCTCTCTACATGTGCTTGCATGTTGAAAATTTAGAAATGCTGCTGTATAAATTGCTACCTTGTTTACCCAATACAAGTGTTTTCCTGCATCCCTTGTTTGCTTGAAACTTATTAACACGAAAGTTATCATTGGCTTGAAAGGGAGTTGTGGATGCACAAAGGATGCAGGGAGCAACTCCTCAGTAGTTTACAGGCTGCTGTGCATTAATGTCTTCTCAGCAAAGAAATGTAGCATTAGCAGTGACTTCCTAGTGAAAACACTGAGCGTGCTTATCACTTAAGACTTTAGGAAAAAGCGTCAGACTGTGTAATTGTATCTCATCTAACTTAGACACCTAACCAGTAACATTTGATGAGGCATGAGCCTCTCATTTAACTATTTTTGATCATGAAGTACCAAACAACGCAAAACTGAAAGGTGAACAGCCATGTTTTAGTATCACAGCTACACAAGAAATCACGAGTTTTCATGAGGTTCTGTTCTGATTTTGTTTCCTTATCTCTAAAGCATTTTCACTGTGGAAGTATCTTTCCATGCAGTTACTGAGGCTTCCTTTCACCAACCAAAACAGTCCGTAGCCTTCTACACTGTGAAAGGCAAGCTCTGTGGAGAAACATGGGCTTTCCGCTTGCCCAGCAAATTCGAAGAAATTTCATCCAAGCCATAAAAGCCTTTTATGTTATTGTGTTTGTGTAATCAAAGCAATTAGGGATAGGAACCTCGGTAATGAAGAGGTCTCTCTGTCCTCCGTTTTACTCTCTCTCTCTGTAATTTGTAGGGATTTAAGAGTTATTTTCTCAAGGCTCAGCTGTGTCTCTCTAAACCAGCACAGTCTACGCATCATGTGAGATTCAACTTAATGGGGATAGCATTTGAACGTTTAAGATTTACTTTTCACATAGCAAGGAGTAATGTATGTCCCTAGGGACGTGGACTCTTGCAAACAAGTCTGATACCAAGGATAAAAAATCAGCATGGTACCAGTACATCAGACTCTGTACTACAGTGGGTTTTTTAGCTTTTGTCATTTGTATTTTATTTTGCAGGAGAGGAGTTGGGGAATCTCAGATCACATGGGGGATTTTAGAAGTATATCACTCAACAATCATTTTATAAAGTCTAACTTCAAAATGCACTATGATTTATTACAAAAATATATTTTCTTCTGTTTGCCGACATGGTTGTTCCACTTTGTGATAAGTTAAACTAAGCAGTTAATTTGTTGCACTGCCTAGCTGCATGAATTCATCCAGTGTACGTACGTACCTGTGCAGCATTACTTTGGGTTTTGTATTTGAATTTGCAGTATTGATTATTATTTTTGTATTTTACTTTGCCTCTGTTATTGGAATTGTAGTAAACATAATTTATACATATGATTTTACAACTGTTTTGCAACTGAAAAGTCTCCTTTAAATTGTAAAGTTTTATTGATGGATACTCATTAAAATGGTATAAGAATTATATTAACAATTGTTTTGTGTTTTGATGCTCTCTGTACATAAATATATGTCTATTTATCTGTTTAATGGTGCTTGTGTCTTGCAATTTTGGATACATTTTAGAATAAAGTTTCATTTTACAAGAAGTAGTTGTATTTTCAAAAGCTGTGTCAAAGAAACACCACTTTTCTCCAGAAGTAACTGGGGCTATGGGAGAAACATATGACTCTCCAAAACATGTATAACTTCAGGCACCGGTGTGTTTGTTTCAAGACAATGGAAGCACAAAACCTACAAAGACGCACAGCTGTATATTCCAGTCAGTTTACTGAGGTAACTGATGTCAGTATCTAAAACATTACCCAAAAGAGTCAGGAGGCATATCATAGCCCTGCTGATTCCATTGGTAAGAAGAGATCTGTGAACATGCTAATGATGTCACCATTACACATGAGGCTGTAGTTTTCCAAAGAACTCCGCAGCTCTCCCGTCTTGCATAAATCTGCTTAAACATTGACAGAATTTTGGTAGGCACCTAGAAAACAGTTCTAGATTATAGGCTTCTGTGAAATTTTGGTACTAAATCAGACTCCTTTGTCCTACAGCATTTCACAGAATAAGGTCTCACTTGGCTGAGGGTCATATCTAGAGCAGCTGCATTAGTTGAACTGTCTGCTACTGTACAATTGAGTAATATTTCTTGCTAGCTCTAATGGCTTTATTTTACAGAAGATTTATTCACATGTAATGTCGAGCTCATCTTTTATTAACAAAATGCCTTACCTCTCCTGGCACAGTTCCCTTACAGTGTCCTGTTCATCACAGCACCCACTAAATGTACTACTGTGCCACACAAAGCCTTTAAAACTGTGTTGCTTCCATTATAAATACTTGTTACTAGGATGGAATAATCTAATATCTATTAGGCTTTTTTTCTTTCTTTTTTTTTTTTTTTTTTTTTTTTTTTTTTTTTGTCCTTTTAAAACTATTTAAAACAATACTGCACCTGTTTCCTTGGTTGTTTTTACTGTTTCAGTTCAGGCCTCAAGCCATAAAGTGAGAATCATTTATAAAACCACATTAGCAAATAACTTCTGAAGGAAAGCCAATGTCTCAGGTGGTTGAGTAAGCCTTTGGAGTTGAGCTCCCTCTAGTTCACCATCAGTTCTCATTTCAGAAGACTACTTTCACTGAAGGCTAGCTCAGCAATCTATGGGTTTGGATGTAAGGCTTCTTCCATCTGCCCATGACCATTTGTTCCTTTTGCCACAAATGGGCATCAGTAAAGAACTTCTTCACTGTGGGCTTGAGAGAGTTGTGGAACAGGCTGCCAAGAGAGGTTGCGGAGTCTCCTTCTCTGGAGATAGTCAAGACACATCTAGCCAAATGGCTCTTGCTGTAGGGAACCTGCTTTAGCAGACATTTGAACTCCCAGGTCCAGAGGTCCCATCCAAACCCTACAGTTCTTTGATTCTGTGAAAGAGAAATAGGCCCCTTTACACATGCCTCCCAGAGGCTGCCTTCACCTGCTAGGTAGTCCCGCCAGCTTCTAGCAGTGCTGGTATGGCTGCTGTGCTGCATAAGTCAATTTTCTGCTGGGAAACTGAATGTCTGCCACAGATCTCTGTGAACTTGGGCTGGTAACTTCATTTCTGAATCCTTGCATCTGTGAAGGAGAATGACATTGATCCACCAGGTGCTTTCTGAGGCCAAATTCACTGACAACTGTGAAAAAGGTATTCTGATGTGCAAGAAGCTAAAGGAGTACCCGGGGCTGCAACGGAAGGATCTGCTGAAGCTGCAAGATGGACACGACAGACATTTGAGTTAGTTCAGCAGACGGCGAGAGGAGGGCGGGGGAAAGTCCGCTTAGCAGATCTAAGGCTGGTCTAGGAAAAGGACGCTGCATCGAGGCTGTGAGGCCGTCACCTCACTCCCCGTGGCTGCCAAGTGGAGAAGGCGGCAGCAGCCATTTGCGGCACTCGTTCGGCTGCTGGATGCCCACTGCTCCTGGTGGGCAGCTCCTACCTCCGACAGACCGCCGTCACACGACACGTTCCTCAGAAATCACGCGTCACCTGCAGCTCCGAAGTGCCCTTCCCAAGTACTAGCTTCTCTTACCCCAACAGAAATGAGAGAAGTTGCCATTTCTGTTTCTCTAAGACTGCTGCGCAGCTAGGGGAGGTCTGCTGACCACTCGCCCAAGCACGCACTCCACACTTCTACAGTTTTCGGTTTCCCCTTTACCTGCCTGTGAACTAGCAGTCCTACCGCCCTCATCTCACAGCGGACAGCAGACAGGAGGACCGCGCACCTGCCCACAGCCCGCCCCGCCGACAGAGGGCGATTCCCTCTCAGACGCGGGCGCTGAGGCGGGACGGGTCCGCCCAGCCCGGCAGGGAACGGGGAGGCCGCAGCGGGCAGGCGTCGGCGGACACTGCGGCGGGTAGCGGCATGGAGCGGAGCGGGGCGGCGGGAGGATGGGTGCCCATGTGCCAACGCGTCCTGCCGGCCCACGCCAACCACCGCGGGGAGCTGAGCGCCGGGCAGCTCCTCAAGTGGATGGACGCCACCGCCTGCCTGGCAGGTAGAGGGGCCGGGCAGCGCGGCGGGGCGAATGTCCGGAGCCCCTCACACGCACCGCGCCCGGCGGTGGTGGGCGGCTTTCTGCTCCCAGGGGCTGCGTGAGGCCCGTGGGTTTGCGCTTCGAGGGGCCTGGTGGGTCCGGGAGGGAGCTGCGAGGGTGGGGAGCGCAAAAAAAAAAAGAGGGCAGTGAAGGGAAAGTCAGGGATGGAGCAGTGAGAAGTACTGGAGGATGGAAAAGAGAACCCCGGGTAAAAAAAAGCCACCCACTTCAGAGACTTTTATCATCTCTCTCATGGCTTCTGGAGATGATTTGCCGACAGCCATCTATACTCGTGCACACGAAGCCTCGTGGAGAGCAGCATGATGTGGGAGCATGTGCTCTCATGGCATTGCTGTGCTGGGCTGAGTGCTGGCGTGCACTGTGCTGGAGCAGCTGTACGTACAGGCTGGACCAGGCTTTGCACACTGGTGTAGCTGTAGATGTCCCTGTGGGGGAGGTGGACGAGGTGACCCTTAAAGGCCCCTCCCACTCAAGCGACTCTATGATTCTATAACCCTTCAGATGGAGAAAGCAGTGGGATGCAGGAGCAGCAGCCGGCACACTTCTCAGGGCCACTGCAAGTTTGCTGAGTGGTGTGATATTGCACGAAGGAATTGCTTTGTCTTCAGCCTTTTGGTTATTTCGCTCTTAAAAATGCTTTTTTTGAAAGGCTCCTCACCACAGAAAGCCCCTAAGTCCTAGCTCTGCAGCAGAGTTGGTCCTTGCTCCCTGGGCTACAAGTTAATCTGCGATCTTAATCAGCTGCAGACTGACTGCAGAGCTTCCTTTCAGCCCACCTTAACTGTTTTTCTTTGGTTTGTCTTAGAACAGCAGCAGTCAGTCATGCCATTCATCCCTTCGCACACAGAGGGTTTGTAACACTTGAATCCTGTGTCACAGCATGCTAAACATGACAGATAGGATTTTTTTTGCTGTAGCATGTTTTCCCAATGCTAGTGCCAACTGCATTTGCCAGCACCAGTGTCACACCCGTGTTCTGTGTCCTACTGCTTCAGGCTTGACCCAACTGGCCTCTTGCTCCACTTTTGAGTTTACAAGATATCGCTGTCATGTTCATTATCTTCTATTAAAACTCTAGCTTCATAGTCGATAGGGACCTCTTACCCTGAGTGGATCATTGTGTTCTTCATGAGTGCCTTCATGTGTTTCACAATCATGTTTTAAAAGGGAATTTCTCAGGTACTATGATAATGCATACACTATCTTCTGTCTTACCCCTGCAAGCCTATTCTTGCACAGATCACTAAAAATATTGTTAGGCTTCTTGTGAGTGAGATCCCCTACCTCTTGGCAGAGCACTACCATCAGCATTTTTAACCTTTGTCAGGAAACTTTTTGGAGCTGGGGTTTCTGGTGTTTGCACAGCCCCCGAGGTGCTGGAGATTGAGCCTGTGACATTAAACTCTAGTGCTGTTGTCAAATAATTGGTAAATCACAATAACTTGCTTTTAAAAGAATAACTATTGAACTGTCGAATATTAACAGTATAGACGTTGCCCTTTTTTATAGTTAACTTTCCTGATTAATTCTATTTAACATAGATGTTATTTTTCATAACTAACTGTGTCTTAGAGAGATGGAGAGCATGGTACAGATTTTGCTAATAGTATTTTGCAATTGTTACACAAAGTAAATACTTACTTTAATGTTTGAATCTTGATTGCATTTTTTTTTATATATAGTTCCTGCATTTTACTGCAACAATGAAGGCATGCACATACCTGCTTGCCACTGCTGCTACCATGCTATCAAGGCAGTAAATCATTTTCCTTTGTCTTGGAATTCTCACGTAACAAAGTTTTTATGCAGATTTAACATTGCCACGATTCAAAGCATCCTAGTTTTGAGGTGATTGCTGGGAGTGCTATAGACCTACTAATACTTTTTGTCCTGGAACATGCTTGTTAGCTATCTTGTATCAGTGTCCATTTTTAGCAGAAGACTTTAAACAGAACTTTCAAACTCAGGAGAATCATTATAATAGTCCAGACCCGTCTCTTGATACTACCCTTATTTCATGGTAAGTATTTCTCTTATTTAGCTCCTTCTTTTTCAAAAGAGTTTACTGCATATTTGCCTTGGGATGATCAGAAGACAAACTGGATGTGTTTCATCTCTGTCTCTGATGCACGTGTATGAGTATATAGGTGAATGGCTTGCTGCTAGAGCAGTGTAGTAACTCTGTGTCCTGTGTCTCTTTTGAAGCTGAGAAACATGCTGGTGTGTCTTGTGTGACAGCATCTATGGATGACATACAGTTTGAAGAGGCTGCCAGGTACAGAAACGGCTAGCAATCATCGAATGTTTTCACTTTAGAATTTCTAATTTGGCAGAGATAAAATGAGGCATTGTAAAATCATGGTAAAATGGGCCAGTATACTCTCTAAAGTTAAAGGGTTCAGTCTCCAGAATGCTTTTTTCTGTCTGTGATAGCCTGACACTACTAGAAACAAATCAATTTCTAAAGTCCAAAATAACCTGTACTTATTTTACCTGCAA